CTTATTTTTAAATGCCTGGTTTAAATCGTTTGCACTCCTGAATAATTAGTTCATCGATGTCTGGGATTCGTTATTGGTATCATATTCATGTCGAATACGTCATTACGCGCTTACTCAATATACAACGGTGAGTCAGATTAGCAAAGTTTATATTATGAACAAGTCATCCCATTTTGTACGTCATTTATCCAAGGGCTTTTGTGGTTATGAAGTAAGGCTACATGTTTCATCATTATTTTTTGTTCCCAACATGTAGTAAAATGAAATATTATTAGAGATGTTTAAAAGAAATGAAAGAGAAGAATTTATATTATAGGTATAGGTAAAATTTTACGTGGTAAAATGTTACAGGTATTTGTACTTATAATAAATAAGCGTATTTGAAGCGTGTATACAGTTGCATACATGCTTGTCTGAAGCAATTATTAAAATTAGATGTAATTATGTATTTTATTGAGGTTTATATGAAACTTCTATATATATTATAAACTTGTAGCAAACATTTTGTATAATATTCACTTGTAGTACAGTTCTGTTTTTCTACGATTCTACACAAGTATTGTACTATACTGTAAAATTTTAAATCTAAAATATGGTAAATTGTAATAACGGTATGTATCTATATACTCATAGATTATCTAGAAATGTGTTTTAATATGATTTACACCATAACAATACCGTTTCTCTGCAACCGAAATGAACGCTAACAAGTTTAACGAATATGCTAATGGAAATGAGAAACGAAGGAAACTACAGTATGAAATTAGCAACTCAAGAATGATTTGTATACCTACATGCATTTCAAAAGATACAATGATCTCTTTAAATGAGTAATGTTTGAATTATTTCACCTTTGTACATGGTTAATTGTTTATGAGATAAAATTTTTTTATTGTAAAAATTGATAAATAGATGACAATACTTTTATAACTTATAAAACTTATCTACTATAAGAAGGTATACTTACGAGTATACGAGTAAGGTACTCGTATAGGTTCCAGTGTAGAATAGGCTACTCCTTTTTTAGTAAGTATATAGAATAGAATAGTAGTAGTTTAGTAAGGAGTAGCCTCCTTTTTTCCCGTGAGTATCATAAGAGGCGACTTATGGGCTTATAGGGAGGCTATGTACAGCAGTGGACAGTTTATGGCTGATACACTAATACTTATGAATATAAGTATATAATTAATGAATAGAAATATTGTAAGAATATTTTATACTTACTTTATATAACAATATAATATTTTAAAAATGTTATCGGCAGCATAAATTGTACTAACACTTATTTTTCTTAATTATGTACGAAATAGGCACTAACTGAGCATAGTGCTGATAATTTTTAACGACTAGTAGTAAAAACCTATGTGGCATTTTAAAGCTTGTATTAATTGCCATTAAAAATCTACACTTTGGTTGGTTATTATTGGTATACATAATTAAATCAGATACCTAAATGCGTTCAATTTCAAAGAGCATATCTTCAATCTTAATACGAGTATATAAAAATCCAGTGTCGCGATGTCCGTTCACACAAATTTTTGGAATCGACTCAACCGATTTTAATGAAATTTTGTAATTTTATATTGTTTAATCGAATTTGAAAAACAACCCCATGTTTTTATCCTGATAAGAAAAAAAATTATCCCGGTAAGTGGTTGTATAAGACTAAATAAATTATTAAATTAAAACAGAAATTAAATAAATAAATAATAAGTTTGTCGGGTCAGCTAGTAGATTTATAAAATTTATTTGAAATGTTTAATAATGGCTTTATATATACAATCTACAAATCATAGATATGTTAGACACAATCTACGAGCTGGATTCCGCCTGCATATGGAACTAGAAAGTACGGGAAAACAAACGGGTGATCATATGATGGTATGTCTGCACCGTATGGTGTACCATGTATGGAGAGTCCGGAGACATGTTCTCACGTACATACTACGGCATATCACCGAAGGAACGGTGATATTAGCGGATTCCAATGTGCTATTTTCTAGTCTAGTTATCGTAAACCATATACATTCAAATCTTTTTATTCAACTACCGTAAGGTAGTGGTTTAGCTCTGCTTAAAAATATAGTTAAATTCTTCTCTTTTATCATGTCATCCCAAAATAATATTAATATTTTTTCTGACAGCACCAGTAACCTATATTTATATTTGCCTTAGATCAGTTTCTTTGCAATATCTTTATTTTCAAACATAAAAGTGATTTAAAGATTAATATATTAATAGGTATTAATTATTATCTTTAATGTTTTACAAAGACAGTTCCGTATTCTCTGCGGTCTTAGAAACTATATCAGAATAGTTACAATAGGAATTCCGCTTGGTTTATGTTGTTACACATGTTTCCGTTGCGTTATATTAAAATAATCTGTGCAACGAACTATTGACGTACCGTTTTTATGAAAGCAAATTCCTAGCACGTTAACCCACATAATAGTTTATTTTTATTAAAAAACAAGCAAACTATTATTAGGTCAGACAATAATAATAAAATATAATCTGTTTTAGATGTATAGTTAATTTCTATTTATCAGTATTAGAGTAGGTATAATATTTTATTGTTAAATTGATCAATTTGTAGATAGTGAGAGAGGCGATAGTTATATTTATTTATTAACAACCTTATGGCAAATCTCAATAAGAGTACGGTTTTATAACAGGAATTCAATTCTTTATTATTGAATTAATGAAATCATCAGTATCTTTTTATGCAACAGGAGATAGCAAACAAGCAGATAGCTCATCTGATGTATTGCCAGAATAAATAAATAATATTTAGTATATTATAAATAAATATATTGACACTATTAATATTGGTTTCAAACGTGTGTAAATTCGGTATTTAATAAAATATATAAATGCCAATGGAACTATATCAAAATACGGCATGCGGTTTAAAAGAAGCAAGCATAGATACGTCACATTATGTTTTATACTATTTAGAGAATTATTCTGAAATGATTAGGTTACGCTATCTTTAATATGAAAATAAAAAATCACTCAATGGTATTTTTGATTTCACTTATAGAATTTTAATATCTAAATCGTTTAGTAGCATATCATCAGTTATAAGGAAAAGGGCCCTAAGATTGTAGGTAGCACATACAAAGCGTGGGATATAAACTGTACAAAATGCCACACTACCCACGTTTCTTACGCCACTAATATAGATTCTTCTATAAGTGGTTATGATGATAAATAATCTTGGAATTCCACTTCCGGATATTTTATAGTGCCAGATTAAAAATATTTATTTATTTAACACTTTATTGCACCGACATAACAGGATTTGTCGAAAAATTTTCAATAAGTATAGTGTAGTACAAAAGGCGGTCTTATTGCTAAGCGATCTCTTCCAGACAACCTTTGGATAGAAAGAATCAAAGAATAAATATTATACACAATTAGATACCAATTGTATAAAACGTAAATATTTTTCTAACGCCATTTATTTCCTAAGTAGATACAAATTCTATTTTTTATTTTTTCTTTAATGTGTATATACATGACGCACACCGAAAATTTAACGAACTTACTGTGTTATACTTATTTATGTTATACTTATTATTTAACTTATTTATTTCCGTCGTGCATGTATATATACATCGTTAAAAGATGTTATATATTTTATTTTATTTAAAAAAATTATGTAGTACATATGCGTTATAACGATTTCACATTTTACAAGAAAATACATATACTAAGAAGTTATTAATATATAAAAAATATTTTATAATATTATAAATGTAAAAGTGAGTTTGTTTGTTTATTTGTTTATTATCTTTTAGCGCTTTAATTTAACCAAGATATAATAGAGGGCATGTTCTGGTCACGTGTATAAAATCGCGAGTCACACTAGTCAAGCCATATTATAATAGAAGTACCTATGTAGTTCTTATTTTTTATACTGCAAGCGGAAATATGTTCGCTAAAATATATAAAAGAAAAATATTATATTACATTAGATACATTATATTTTATATAAGATACGTGTGCGATTAAAAACGTATTAAACATGACCTCTAGTAGAAATAGACACTAGGCTATGTTTGTATGCGTTAGTAGGTAGAAAATACTGAATTGCATATCGTGTCGCGTATGACATCATTTCTTGATTCTAACTTGCCTTTGTTTTGTATTAGATTAAACGTATATACTAAACTGTGTTTTTATTGGTTAAATGTGTTCGGAAATAAGATTTAAAGTTGATAATAATTAAATAAATATATAGTATTAAATTAAATAAAACTATAAAGAAAATTGACGCGATCGCAAATGTCATATATTAGTATAAGTAGGTATACATAATGATATTAATCACGTCACGATATTACAGTATACAGTATTATTTATTATACAAGTGTGAAACACACATGTTTTCCGATTTATATGTAGTAAAAGAAATTAATAATGTATTTCTACCATCAAGCAACTGTACATATATGATTGTGTTTCAATTTGAAGGATGGGATTTAGCACTATTTCATTAAGGGAATTACTGAGTATCCAGGAAGTTATAACACCTTAATTCACGAATGCTAACGCATGAGGCGTACCATGGGCGTCTAGGTATATTTTGTGATTACCATTTTCTGTTACGTGGACCTTCAACTTGTTTACATTCTCATGTTTTATAAAAAGTGTTGAATACATGTATATATATTTGCTACCACAGACTAGGTATAAGTTTACATTCTTTATCTAAAATTGAGTGCGAACAAGTTAAAGGTGCAATAGTGTTACGATAAACAAGGTGTGATACTGAATCTTTAGAGAAATATTAAAAATAAACCGCGAGTCATACTGCTCGCGCCCAAGGCAAGGACGCAACCCAAATATATTGGGTATTCTGAAACAACGTCACGGCCAACGCTACGCATATAGTTTCAAACTCTATTTTTTTTAACAGAGATAGATAATTATCGTCGACAAAGTTTAATTAAAATTAATTAATTTACCAAATAAAAAAGTTACTTTAATTTTACCTTGGCGGGAAAGAAGTCACAATAACACTTGGCTGTACACAATTAACTTTACAAGACACAATTAATTAAAAAATAATAAAATCCATTGATTACACAGAGTAAATACCGCGCAGCGCGTAATAATCCCGCACAAGCTGTGCGATAGAGCCGTCCGTCTCTCAAAGATCGTTCGTCAGTCTGAGCTTGGTTTAGTAGTAACCCTGTTGTGAGCCACTGACGCATATATTAATGACCAAATCACCAGTCTTTCGATTTACCAATACTTCAATTTCATTAAAAATACGTAGTTAGTAGTACAAAACAAATGAATAATTCAATTAAATGTACCTAATGATGTATTCGCCTGTCGTAGTTGCATAAACTTTGATCAAATATATTTAAGTAGTACAGATTTTTTGTGAAATAATCACACTGTGACAGTTTAGACTGTTTTATCAATGGTATACTACCAACGCAATTAGATGTAAACAACAAATATTCGCCTTTGTTTTGTTCTTAATATGTTAGGTAAATAAGTCAAAAGAATATGGAACCGAGTATGAAAGAAAGAATTTGAAAGTCATTATTATAAAACATACTTTTTATTTTATTATAACATTCAATATTGTCATTATATTCATTAGAAAGATTATACTATAATTATTATGACTCGATCTTTACAATGATTTTTCTATATATCCATCGGTTAACGGTATTATTTTTCATCTTCATATCGACAGGTTACTAGCAAGTTTTATACTTTGCGGTGTAATGCTAGGCCGCCTGGATCAGTACGTCATATGAGACTGATAACTTCGACCACATCATCTCTTAGAAAGAAACAAGTGCCATCCTGATTTGCTCAAATCCTTTGACACTTGTTTCACGCAAAATTTTAAAATCTCTCAAGTGAATTTACCGCTGCAATAGTTTTTGATTGAAATTGTCAAATCTGACATCAAACGATAAAATGGAAAAACCTTAACAAAATATTTAAAAGATTTATCATTACACAATATCCGGACAGCAATATTTAACATTTTATCAAAATTTTGAGATATAAAGAAATTGCAAATGATCTGAGTGATAAATGATGATAAATATTCTTTCGTACGTTGGTATAGAATTACAGTCCGAAGTATGCTTATGGACTTTATTAGGACTCGTGCGGACAATATTCGACGCAACTTTATTTAAAGTAAACGCCAATCTGAAACAGGTAATCTTTAAAACTACTTAATGCACTCTATTCCAAAAATGTTGTTAGGAACAAGTGACTTAAGTATCTACGCCTAATTATGGTAAAAAATTACGGGTACTTAATTAGAAGTTAATAGTTCAACGGCTGGAAAATAACAATTATATAGCAGCGCTAATATATATGATCAAAGCCAGAAACTAATGTTTTAGAGACTATATCAAGCAAAATAATGATTTTTTTGTTTTATTATTTAACCTTGACAAAGAATTATAGAATCTAGGTTTGTGTATATGATAAAATAAATAATACGATGATGATGATGATAACGAAATATTTATTAAAAATTTTTTAAATTTACTATGGTAGATAGGTAACAACTTCCATTTTATCCGACAATAGCTATTTCCTGCAGTTTAGTGAAATTTTAAAAAATCCTTTCTAGTGCTTACTTACGCGCCATTTAATGGAGCTCTAATCAAAATTCCTGTATTATGTATTAGAAATCAATGATGAAATTAAAGTTTTGAATATTGCTATCAATTATTAGACCTATTCACTTTATAATTTCATTTTACAGTATTTACCATTTAAATCAGTGTATAAAGTATCCTATGCGATACCAAATTTTATTCAAATATATTCAGGTATGATTGAATAACAAACATACAAGTAGCTTTACAAACACACATTTTAAATATTAATATGGTAGAATAAAACAAGCAAATTCCTTTAATGTGTCAGAGAAATGAAATAATTATAAGAAAATGATTCTTTTATTAATAGGTATGGCAGATGAGGATGCCCGACGATCTAACGCTGCCAGTGCAACGCATGCTGCGCACCATAATCTCAGGAGTGATGCTCGTGCAGTGTTTCACTGTATACGTTTATCTCGCCTCTTATATAGTTCTGATGTATCCTGTCTTTTTGGTATTTGTTTATTTTACAACTTTATAATATTATATATTTATTTAATTTGTGTTATATTTAGTAACAAAAAACACACACAGTTTAAAAAAACGAGTAATATTTTTATTCTATACATATATCTACATATATCAATGAATTCTTATTGTATTGTTGTTAATATGTACAAATTAAGTAGATGATCTTTTGGTAAAATCAGTGAAAGCCGTGTATTGTGACTTAATTTAGACCGACCAACCAGTTTTAGATAGACATAACTTCATGTTAGATTTTCATACTATTATGAAACAATTCATTTGGAAAAGAAGGAATTGTTAGTAATAGGGACTAGCAACCCCTGAAAACCATAGTGATTGATTTTATTGTTTAATTCATCACGATAAGCCAACCGACCTACTTCCATCTTTACCTATCATCGTTTACTAGAACCCTGCCAGTGTATAATGAGCTCAGGCGGGGTTACAATTCCATTATCATCTATTTAAGTATATCCATTACTAATAAATCCTGTTTCAGTAACCAGTTAGTCAATCATTTAAATGTGGAATAGGTTTGAGCAAATGTGTCTTAATTTGATTCATAAGTACAAACTTTTTTTTTTATTATATGCATTATATTATACACTACATATGAAACAAGAAACGAGAAGAAAAAGATTTGTATATCTTTTGTAACGATGTAATGTAATTTTGCCGGTTCTATATGACTGTCACTGTAACTAGATTGTACAGTTTTAGATATTTAATAATATTTCTTTTTCAATACAGGAGGAGCGACCTGCATTAGTGTTACCTTGGCTTTTATTAGCTGCTGTAAGAAAGTTGCTATGTGAATTGACGAACCTTGCGCTTGGCCTCGGCACTTGTGTATTATTGGGTCCCGCTAGGCCACCCTGTATAAAATTTCTTATTATCAAAGTTGCGTCTATCATGCCTGCTTTTTACATGTGGATACTCGTCTATAGGTAATTTGACAAGATAACCACAAATATCAATTAATTTACATTAGTTATTATTTTAACAACATAAATAATGTAAAATTATTGTCCTACTCTTGTGGATATACATGTAAGTAAATAGAGACAGGTTTTAGGTTTTAATAATAAAAAGAGACTCAAATATCGAGAATCTCAACAAAACATACAAATTCGTTTTTAAATAAATACGAACTACGAGTAAATACTGTCAATGTTTAACAACAAATTTGTTTTTATTTTTATTATCGTCGTGTGTGCCCCGGCATAGAATAGGCCACCCCTTTCTTTCCCGTGGGTGTCGTAAGAGACCATTAAAGGAGGGCGAGGTATGGGCAGCAGCGTCTCTCTTAAAACATCTCTAAAAGCCTAACTGCGGTTGCCAACCCGTTTGCTAAACGTGGCAACTACTGACAAATCTCCCATTATGGGGAAAGCTCATGTCCAGCAGTGAATAGTAACGGCTGAAATAATAATAATAAAAATCTTTTTATTTTATGTATATGAATATGAATGACGGTCATGATTTTTTTGTAGAATTATCGATAACGCCAAAATATTTATTTGTTAGATACCTACTGAGACTTTAGAGAAAATTTGTTGGTCAGCCTTGATCTAAAATAATTAAATTTAATGTCTTATATATTTATTATTTATATTTTATATATGCCTTTTACATTCTATTACATTTAAAATGAATTTTATACTAATTTTTCTTTATTATATTGTGTACCTTCGTGTAGTTTAAAAAGTAATAATTGTATTTTTAAGTTACATATTTAAACAGCATTCTAAAATTGTGCAAAAGAAAAAAAAATATAATTTTATAATGCAATATTTAAATCCCTATATTTATTTATATTTGCAAACAATTTTATTATATTAGTAAGTAACATATAAACATAATTTCAAATTACTTAATCCCTATTAATCGCTTAATCATTATTCGGTATAAGTGTAATTTAGTGTCCACAATGAAGCAACCTGACATGAAGACATAAATATAACGTAAATTAGAATCCATTGAGATTTAAATGTTTGCTTCAGTAACTTCCATGATCTTTTATATCTTTCTTTTTATTATTGAATAATAATTATCGTGAGACATACTGTGTTGTAATTATTTATGTTGATTTTACTCATATTTTGTTGTTCCATGGATGTGTACATAGCTACATAGCCGTGAAACGCGTTCGTGAATAAGAGCTTCTATCGAGTTCGACACTAGTCTTATTAGTCTGGCGTCGCCGAATTTAGAACGTGAATAAAGTCGACATAAAAATTGTTTTTATATAAAAATATTTTTTACATTTTGATTTCCCAGTTATTACCACGCTCTCAAAGTGGCATCAGTTTTCAAAACATTCCCTGCAGTTTTACAAACTAGTGACCATGATTACGGTCTTGAATTAGCTATTCGTAGACGACGGACTAAATCGTTACTTGGAGAAGAGGAGTTGCGCAAAAAATTTGTCACAAATTTGTAAGTTCCAAATTAAGTTAAAAACTCTATTTTTTAAAACGTTTAAGTTCTTTACTTATGTTTTTTGCTATTAACTTTTTACTATTTTATTTTTGCAGGTACAATGAAAGACATTCTTCTAATGGAACCGCTAATCAGATAAAATGTGATTATTCATCACGCATAGACGAGTCTACAGATTTGATTACTGAAGAAATCCCTATTGATTATGATATATTACAACCCATTTCTACCACATCTAATCGATTAATGTCAGATATAGGCTTCTATGAAGATTGGTTTGGTAGTGATGTTACGATACCACGTGATAGTGATCGTATTCTTGAACAATTTGTAGTCATGTTATTGCATATTGCTGTATTTTTAAAGAAAAAGGAAGATCCAAACAATGTATGCTCTTTTAATTCTCAGTCTTTAATGACGGTTCCAAAAATGGATAATATTGATTGTGCAAATATGCCTGTTGATGACACGGAAACACCACTGCTTGTTGGTACTACGAGCCAAAAAACAGCTTCGTATTTACAGAAATATCCGCAAATTTTTATGAAAAAATATCCTGAAGTATCTTTAACTCTACAATCAGAAGATAAGTTAAACACAAAAATAATTCACAATCTACATAGAAAAGGGGAAAAAAATAATGTAGTTAAAAGTCATAAACACACAATAACTATTGAATCTAACCAGACAACAACAGTAGATATTGAAAAAGTAATAAGTCGAAGAAAAATTAATGCACCAGAGTGTTTGAACAATAAGAAAATACAGCAAAAATTAAGTGAGAAGTCTGTAGTTTTTAGCAATAAATCTGATGATGCTAATCCTATAAGTATAGATTTAGAACCAAAATTCAAAGAAAAAATTCTAAATACTTTGAATACAATTAAACAACCAGCTTCTGTTCTGAGTTTACAGATTATAGAAATTTCTTCGAATCAGGAAATACATAATTGTTTTTTTAAAAAATCAACGGAATCTTTATCTTTATCTAATAGCTCTGCCGAAAAACCTACTATAACTAGAAAAAGATCTTTAGAAGAAAAAAATATAAAATGGAACATTAAATATCACCGGAATGAATCATAAAAATATACAAAGTGATATTGAGTCATTCTTTTCTTCAATAATTCCACAACATGTATTTTAATTTTCTTATTCAGGCGTATTTGGTTGGCATATATTATTTTCTACAGCCTGATTAGGATCTAAATACATTACCCGATAGTTAAATTCTTCAGGATTAATAAGATTGAATTGATAGAACGGTAAACGATTTGTTATTATCCAGACTTTTTGTGGTATTTCATGATCTATCCGTAAATCATTGGGGAAAACCAATGTTTTGTTATTTTTAGCTACAAGACCCAAGTTCTCATTTTTATAAGCTTTACGCGTGTCCCAACATCCGATACTATCTCGTGAAATGAGGTTATAGAACATAACACCGTTGCGGTCAACGGCTGCGGCTGAGACTTGTCCATCGGGACCACGGCTCTCACCAAGAAGTTTAAATTCACTTACAGCGTTACTAAGGCGTGACGGATCTCTTAGGACAGCCGTGCTAACTATAAACTCATGGGAGCCTGACATAGAATGATAGTAGAGAGGTCGATCTCCTGATTGAAATTTGCCTAATGCCATACCGAACAAACCATCGGACCACTGATAATTAAGTCCGTGTAGTGTATAATTCGATAGTAATGGTTCTGGATAGAAACTGTAGTGAGTAAATCGCCAAAAAGCTGTATCTTCTTCTCTGAATACAATTAAACCGAAGCGCCAAGCATCAGCTATATAGACGTGAAGATCTTTACAACGAGCATCTCTTGAGTCTACTACAATATTTGTAATGAGTGAATTTTGTAGAACAAATTCATTTGGAATTTGGTAACGTGAAATGACGGTGTCTGTTTCTAGATCAATAGCAAATAGGGTTGGTGGGCAAAGTTGACGCGGTGTTTCAAAAGCTTCCACCTGCCCAGAGTCAAGAACCCACATTACTCCGCAGTGATCAATTGCCATGCGAAATACTGATGTAAAACCAGTACAGTTTTCTGTAAATAAAAAAATATGGATTTTAAATGTGGCATTCACTGATTAAAAACTTAATTCTATTTAAGTATTTCTTTATATTGAGTATTTGGTTATTACCCGCTATGACCTAATCTTTGACTATATATTTTTTTATTATAAAAAGTGAGTGCTGGGGAATATCAAATTAAATTCAGTCGTTTGTGTGATTGAGTAATAAACATATAAAATTTCACATTTATAATTACCTCCGTTATGCCAATCCCAGTCTGGGTATGGTTCCAGTGGTGGCGATTCGGATTCAGCATGGATCGGCAACCAGGACAACGTGGCTGGTACTCCCTTTTTCCACCGTGGGGTACTCACGAATACTCGGTCTTTCCATCTCTCAACCCCTAATGGTATTACATTAGACTGGATGAAGTCTCTGAAAAATCGTTGATGCATTTAATTGAACCAACATGTACTATCTACTGAAGTTTATTGGTTACTATGAATAAACATCTCAGTCAGTGGTGGATTAACGGGGGAGCAGAAGGGGCTGTTCGTTCCGGGCTGCTGGTCCTGAAGGACCTCCAAACGCTTCCATTTTACTCATCCATATCCATATTCTATATATGTTTACTTAAGTGTCATTTAAATTTAACAACTTTTTAAACTGGGGGCTCCATTCAGCTTTGCCGCTCCGGGCCTCTAACGGGCTAATCGGCTGCAGATGTTAGTGTACTCTTTCATTCGTTCAATTATTTATATCATATTACTGTGTGATAGTATTCGTTTGACAGTTAAAAAGGTTCATAGACCATCATAATTCCTCGTAGCAAGGGGATTGCGAACATAATTCAAGATAGTATTGAAAATATAAATACTGAAATATACTTACCTATTGTAAAACTACCCGTATCTCAGATTATATGGTTTCTTAGATTATCTTATTTTTTATCAATAATATAATTTGTTCATATCATTATCATCATATTAGCCTTTAACGATCTACTGCTAAACATAAGCATCTCCCTTGGGGGTGGGGGGGGGGGGGGGAGTTGCCAGTAGTTGTCACGCTTGGCAATAAAATAAAAAATCATATACATAAGAAAAAATCATCCAAAACTTACTGATTGCTTATTGCATCCTCTTGCTCTTCAGGCGTTGGATATGCGAACTCCAGTTGTTTCCATCTGTACAAAGTGCCTATAGCTTTTTTGTGAGCAACTAGTCCATGTATGTGGTTTACAGTTAGTAAACTCAATAATGTCAGGCCCTTTAACATTGTTTACGCTGATGTCTGTAGAAAAATAGTTATTATATTTTATAAATAAATTGAGAAAGAGGTCAGATAAGGTCATTAGAAATTATTTTGATCTGATTTCCTATTATACTATTCAAAATATTACTAATTAATGTTTTGCGTCTAATAAGGATTTATAACGGTTATTTCGTGATATGAGCCGGTGACAGCAGAAGTGAATTTTTATAGTGTAAACTAATTAACTATTTATATTAATTTATTGTCAATATTCAATCAATTGTGATGACTATTTTGTCTGCGCACAAAATTTCTCTTGTACCTCTTGGTTAAATATAAAAATAATAATATACGGAGGCACCATGCAAATTTGGTATTAACTAGATAGATTTAAATACTAGAAAATTTTTATTCGCGGTTCAAAAATGATATACACTTAAGATTATATTTATCTACTGTAGTATTTTTTATTTTTTATTTTATTTAATGGCCGGGCAATCAGCGCCCTCCTTAAAGCATTACCAAAGCCTAACTGCGGTTGCTAACGCACCTGCTAAGCGTGGCAATTACTAGCCAAACCCTTCTTATGGGGCTAATATAATAATAGTATTTTTAGAAACGATGATCAATTTACAGTTTCATATCTGGCTATAATGCAAAAATTTAAACTTTTATAAAATGAAGCAATAAAATTAATGTACCTAGTTCTAGATGCAAATTTTAAAATACACATGATTAGCCATTTAGATTGATTAATTATGTTTGACCGTAGTAGTTGAAGGGCGTCCAGATCAACATAACCAGTTCGTTATGATTATAAACCCAAGTTTAAGGAATATACTTAAAGGTTACTTAAGAGCTGTCGAAATCATCTAGATATAATCGTCTTTTTATACGTATTAATATGTGCTGTTGTATTTGTCAAACATATACCTAAATAAATAAGTGCATTCTGTAATTCTCAATTTAAATGACTTGCCTCTTTCCAAAAAGAATGTTGAATCTTCACGTCACGTTAGATATTTATTTAGTAACATTTTAGTTTAGAGTTAGCTCCCTACTGTAGATTAAATCCAAGGAAAATGGCCCAGTATGAGAGAATGCTTATATGAAACTGTAGTAAATATTTTCAATCGTATTTAGTTATCCATTTTTTTGTTAGAAATTTATAGAACTGTAGAAAGAATGATAAAACAAATACAAATTATTTTAATACATATATAAACACGTAATACTTTTGCATTTCTATATGTTCGAAATTTGCATAAATAGCTTTTATATGTAGTTGTATATATATGTATATATGTTCTTACGTGTTTTCTGTATTATATTCTGCCGTTTGGTCCCAGTATAGAACAGGGCACCCCTTCCTTTCCTATGGCCATCGTAAGGGCTGACTAAGGAAAGATAATTGTCGAGAAATAGATATGTATGTTCGTTATAGAAATAAAAACTACTCGACGGATTTTAACTAAACTTGGTACAATCATTTTTCATACTCCTGGGCAAGTTATAGTATACTTTTCATTACGCTACGATCAATAGGAGCAGAGCAATGAAGGGAAATGTGTTTGTTACATCAAAACCACTGAACCGTGAGGAAGGACATAGACTACTTATTTTACTAAAAACGACGGAAACGCGGACGAAGTCGCTGGCAACAGCTAATGTTATATAAATTACTATAATTATGAAAATGTATCAAGCAGACATATTCATTGTTGTATCTATATATATATTAGTGAGAGGAATAGATAAACTATTGAGTCAATTAACGAAATTAAATGTCGAAATATGTAGATAAGTACTAAATTACGAAAGAATTTCAAAAGAAGATATATATTTAAATTTCTACATGTGAAATGAAGTTTATAGTTGTAAGATAAAACCGGACATTTTAAACAAAATTAGACGTCATTTTACCTGTTTCTAATTTATTATTTTTCATTTATTTATATTTTATTCAGAAATATTAATAAAGTAGAGCAAAAAAGCTATACAATCTGATATCTTCTTTTCGGCTTAATTAAATCAGAGCTCCGCAGGAAATACTTGTTTGGCAGGAAATTATTAAGCGAATTTTAGATAGGTCATAATGATACATAATACATAAAGCAGGCGATAAAATAAGATTATCAGTTGATGAATAAAAGCATGGGACTCATATTGACCAATCAAATATGGAAATATTAATATCTACGAACAGACTATATAATTAGATTTGATAAGTAACTAAAATAAATATTCTGGCCTAGCACCGCAAATGTGGTCTAGGATCCTTTTGCGGGTGCTAGGCAACTTCTAAAGTTGATATGAGAGTATGGTATTATACTATCTATGGTATAGGTAACCCTGAAAATCGCTAGTCTCCGGTGGTAAATAGTACATGAAGATGTATTCAATCTAAAATCATATAGCTACATATATATAAGACTTAAATATTATACTCGTTTCTACATTTAAATAATAACAGAAGCAAGTTTAGAAACTTAATATTTTTTTTAGTATGTATATGGAGTATACCAAACGTATAAGATATATGATTATAGCAATTTATTCATTTTATGACCTTTTAATTTATTTATTCACTTTTAATACCAATAAAATTTTTAAAACATTTTAGGAACTATGATCATGTTTAATTTCTAGGGCACAAATAATTCTAGGTATTATAGTTATCCTAGAGTCTATATACATCGATATACATATCACAGTGATTGAGCGACTATGTATGTATTACTAGAAACATATGTACTTACCTATTTACATGTTCTCACTTAAAATAAATTTTGTGATACTTCGATAAACTTGCAGATTTAACAGTATAACACGACAACGCGCGTCTGTGCAGTTTTTCGGTCAACACACGTATGAATTGGATAGATGTAACTGCTTGTTATTCTTGAATGCCCGGTTGTATATTATTGCATAAACAAAATGATTTCATTTACAAGTTGATTATTAACTGTGCTTGTTTTAGAAAACTAGTAGTGTATATAAGGGTAGGGGTAGATGGAGACATTATTGACTTTTGCTTCATACACTGTTGGGCATATCTGCTATAATCTCTTAGTGAATAAATCTGTTGTAAGATAGAGTAGTCTTGTCTCTTGATTTGTTTATATCGTTATTTAAATATATATATATATATATATATATATATATATATATATATATATATATATATATAACGAGATATAGTATATATGTATACTATATGTCGGATCATAACAGTGACTGTGGTATCCTTTTAAATAATAATTTGCTTGGTTAAGTACACAAAGTTTTCGGACGTGGCATACCGGAAGATGACTTTGCTTGGAAGCATGAATCAATTGGGAATTATCTTTAAATGACAAACATTAAACAATTTACAGCTTTAAGCTGATGTTCTATTAAGATCGATCGATTCTAAGGAATCAAAATTATTATTGGACATAGTCAAATTATTATTCGACTGAAATATCATTGCTATGTACATGTATAATTCTAATAGTAATTGATTATACAGTATATTTTTTCTAGAACATTTACCAGTATTCTAGAAAAAAATATGTTAAGAATCCGGTTTACCCGAGGTTCTTTTGTAATATTTGTTAATAGCATTATCGAATTTTAACTTTTAATTATGTATGTATAATAAAATATATCGGTTGTTCAAGGATGCCATGATTTACACTATATATTCATAAAATAAGATATTATTAGGCTTTTATATATACATATGTTATTAACATTAAGATGACATTTATTAATTAGCTTCTATATTAGACAGAAAAGTGTGATTTTTATGGTTATGTTATCAGTATACTGAAACTGAATATTTTTAGAATCGCATAATAAGATTTGAAGTATGTGGTATCTATGGTGATTCAATAATTACTAATTGTGTCCCAAAAAATAACCGGCTCTAGCATAACTGCAGTTAAAATTTTTGATTTAAAAACTAAACTACTGAATCAATTTTAATAAAATTTTGTGGGACCAATCTGTAAGTATATCCATTCAAATAAAATAAAAAAAATTCATATTGGTTTAAAATTTACAGAATTATGAGGTAACAAACATAAAAAAATACAACCAATGGAAAAACTCCTTCTTTTTGAAGATCTCATTGTGAAAATTTCACATTGAGATCTGATAAATGAATAATATATAGGCCTACTCATAACTCGTCTTTGAGTATAAAGAATTTATTTTTCGGATCATTATGTATCATATCTATCCCATGTGTTTTTTTATTGGGTGATAATGGAATGGTACCCCGCCTGCGCTATCAATATACGTTTGCTGGGCACCAGTGAATGAGAATGAAACAGGTCAGTTGACCCATAGTGACGAATTCATACAGAATTAACCAAGATGGTTTCCAAGGGGAATCGCGTGGAGGTTGACCTAATAACATGTATTGCTAGCAATGAGACTATTCGATCCCTATTACTAACAATCGCTTCCCCCCTATTCCTTGTCCTCTCGGGTCCTCGAGTATACATTTTGTTGAATTTTTTTTCAAAATGATTGGCCAATTTTCTATTATTTGAGTATACATTTTGTTGAATAGGCCACCCGGGTATACGAATACCCCACCTACGAAATTTTTTTTCAAAATTATTGGCCAATCAACTGGATTAGTATAAGGTAAAGTTGCATTCGATTTATTTAAATTACTGTTTATATGCTAACCTTTTTTTCGAAAAGAGACTATAGAAAGATATAGAAAGCAGACTCCATATCAAAGAATCGAAATATTCTTTAATTGGATGCCATCTTTTTCTATATTTTTGTATTTATTGTTATGAGATCTTTGAAAGGCTTTTAATCTGTTTTATGATAATTTCATAATCATAACAGATTATTATTTTCACATTAATGATTACGGGTTTCTTCTTCTTTCTCCATTAAATAGAAAATATTAACCCACTATCACCATGCTAGTCAACTGGATTAGTATAAGGTAAAGTTGCATTAGATTTATTTAAATTACTTATTGCTAAAATAAAGTATGTGCAACTGTTTATATTTAAAATTTAAAAAAGAAAGTGAATATAGAAGATTTTGTTTTGCCATTTATGCAGAAATTTCTTATGAATAAAAAGAAATTGTTCTACATATGAGCCATTATTATGCTATTTAGTAGACATATAAGCATATATATACTTTTTAAATTCAAAAATAAAAAAAAATCGTAAGAATCTTAGATATTATGTAATTTAATGATAATAAACATTTTGTACGCCTGTTTTGATTATACTTATATAATATAGCTTTAGAGAGAGAGAGAGAAAACGCGCAGAGGCATGGCTTGTAGGTTTTAAGTAGGCGTTAATTCGTTAGATGTTAACTGTATTTGAATGAAAATTATTTCTCCTATATACAATACAATACTATTCTATAAAAACCCTGTGTCTTAATTTTCCTTTGCACTAATATCGGAAACCTGCTAATTGATTTTAATGATTGTTTTTTTTTTATTTTTATTTTAATTAGAGAAAATGGACATAGTACGTGGTAGTAGTCGGAAAAATTTTTTGTCTGGTCAGCTAGTTGGTATATTAAACTGGTGCTGGGGCTGGTTATAACATAGCACAAAATTAAAAAGTCGAATCGTGAAATACAGCTTGACTCTTATTTATATTTTTTATTTATAATATTAGCCGTTAACTGTCCACTGTTGAACATAAGCATTCCCCATAAAGGGAGTTGTTCCACGCTTGGCAGGCGGATTGCCAACCATAGTTACTCTTTGGTGATGTTATAAGAATGACACTGCTGTTCATGCCTTAACCATTACGTTCCCTTAGTCACTTCTTTCGCCATCCACAGAAAAAGAAAGGGTGGCCCATTCTATGCCGGGACTACTTGGCATACTTATTTATATTGCATCAAGTCAATTAGAATATAGAGATCGTTGTTCAAATGGACAGTCGACTTGAAGGAAAACAGATAAACAAATAGGCAAATTTTTAAAAGTTAAACCTAGAGAACGTAGATATATAAAATTAAAAGTTTACTAGAATTGTCACGCCATAATTTATCTTTTTAATTACGAATTATTTTTTATAATTCATTCATGTAAGGTTTTAGAAATAATTATTTTATATATATTTAAAAAATAATTTATTTTAAATATCACTTTTATGGCAACAACTTTCATATTATACATTAAATGAAGGATATTCTATTTCAGGATCGCAAACAGTTCCCTTTACCGCTTCTTCCGTGTCCGCAAACATAAGGCGATAGTTGTAATCATCAGCGTTTAATGGGCCTGACTGGTACATAGGCAAACGGTTGGAAATGACCCAAACATGTTGTCGCTCTTCTTGATCAATTTTTATGTCATTAGGAAATATTAGAGTCTCGGAATTCTTAGCTACCACCCCATTCATTAGCTTCGTATATGGCTTCTTTGTATCCCAACAGCCCACACTATCACGGGTGACTAGACCATAAAACATAACGCCTCTATCGTCAATAGCTGAAGCGGAGGATTGTCCAAACAATCCTCTACTCTCACCAGCCAAGTTAAAATCCGATGAACTATTTTTTATGCGCGTTGGATCTTGTAGCACATTTGTTGATACATAAAATTCCCTATAACTCGACATAGAATGAAAGAATAATATACGTTCTCTGTAAGTGTCGATCGGAGATAGTGCTAATCCAAAGATTCCATCAGTCCATTGAAAATTGAGCCCGTGCAGCGTAAAATTCGAAGCTAACGGATCAGGGAAGAATAAGGGGTGAGAAAAACGCCAAAACTTCCCATCACTCTCTCTAAAGACGAGGAGTCCAAAACGCCATGTATCTGCTATATAAACATGAACATCTGAACAGTCTTCTGTTCTTGTGTCAATTACTAAATTTGCATACAGGGAATCTTCCAGTACATATTTTTTGGGGATTGTATAACGAGCGATAAGTGTGTCCGTTTGTAGATCGAATACTAGCAAACTGGGTGGGCAAACTTGCTTTGCTTTATCTACAGAATCAATTTGACCAGAATCTAGTACCCACAGTCTTCCACAAGGGTCTACGTGGACTCGAAAGACTGATGTTAATCCAGAGCAGTCTTTGCCGTTGTCTGAAAATATAGAATTGTAATTTTTATTGTATAATTTGTAAAAATTTTAATAATAATAATTAATACCCATGACTAATAATAACAATGCTAAACGTGTATTTGAGAGTCTATTTGATTTATTATATCATCTTATCAGCCGTTAATTCTTCAGTAGTTGCCATGCCAAGCAGACTGGTTTACAACCGCAGTTAGCCTTTGGTGATGTTTTAAGAGAGACGCTGTTGTCCATCTCTTGACCATTAAATTCGCCTTGTACGTCACGCGAAAGGAAGGGGTAACCCATTCTATGACAAGACTACAGAAGTTTACTTTGTAAACGAATGTTTTAGTATCTTTGTATGCTTGTGGTCCAAGAACTATGCTTTCTGTATAAATGTTTCGGTATAGAAAATGTTGGCAAAAGATAATAACTGTTCCATATTTCTATGTCAATGCATTATATGACGACGAAATTGCTTTATACTGTGAAGACATGATACCGTAATCTTCAAGAATGGGCGTACATGAGCAGTCCCATGGGGTTTCGTGCATATATTGTGCACTTTGTCTTATTACTACTCATATGATGGTGGCATCCTCTGATGACAATAGTTTCTAAGCTGTCTTCAGTACACCCTCTGACGTGACTTATCTATACTCTACGTAGTGTTTATTATGATGTGTATTGGTGGTAGTTATCATTAAATTAAGTGGAACCACTTTGATTAGTATTCTTATAATAATTACTTGCAAAAATCATTGACATAGTCTTTACGGTATGATTAAAATTTGTTTATTTTAATGTAATTAAAAAAAAAACTTACTTGAAGGATTATTAAATTGCCAATTAGGATATGGTTTTAGTGGCGGTGAAGTCAATCCTCCATATCGTGAGACTGTAGCCACAGTTGCCGGTATTCCACGCCTCCATCGAGGTACAGTGATGAATACACGGGGACCCCATACTTCCAGACCGAGTGGCAATACGTTTTTTGGTATATATTTACTGGAAACATAGATATAATCATAATATTATTACTGATTCACAATTAAATGTAAATCAAAAAGTACTCGTAAATATACTTCCCTCAAGAATGGTTATGCATGAGCTGACGTGAATGGATTATACGTTGTCTATAGTGTAATCTATGGCTATAGGTGATGGCTATCACGTTCAACCAAGTGAGCCGTTACCTTGTTTTCCCTACCAAATCGTGTAAAATGAGTCTGTATTTCGAACTATATTCTATTCGATGTAAAAAACTCTGCTTATTTTTACAAAAGGTTTGTACAGTGACGAAATATGTTAAAAAAAACATAATTACATGCTCACGACTATAATCCCTGATGGGATACTCAGTGTTAATTTATTGTTGCAGTTGTGGAGAACTTAGTACTCGACTGATTGTGATCAAAATATAAAGAAAAAAATAGATTGCAGATAATAATGAATGATTTCTAGAGAAAACAAAAGTATAAAATGATAAAAAAAAAAGTCGAGAAGAATGAATATTCAATAATAATTTAAGATTATATTTTACAAAAAAAAAAAAACTAACTATAATCATAGCAAAATTAGATATTTTGATTTAAAAACTAAACCACTAAACCGATTTTGGTAAAACTATAGTACAAATTTAAAATTATACCCTTTCAAATAACATTTTTCTAAATCGATTTATAAATGGCGAAGTAATAAGGTAACCAACATAAAAACAACCGAATTGGAAACCTCGTCGTAATTTAAAAGTAATCGGAAATATTATTGTAAAAGTATAATAATTACCCTGAGTTGACTGCTTGCCATCGGTGATTCGCAGAGGGGAACTCGAAATCGATTTGCTTCCATTTGTAGAGTGTACTAAAAGGTGGTGTATCCAAGTCCGCAGGTATAGTCTGAGCACGGGCTACACCTAACATAGTCAACCATAGCGCAAAACCAGCTGCCTGAGATCCATCTACAAACACAAATAAAATAAATTTACCTATTACTTATATATACTTTGTATACTTAATAGTAGAAGTTGAGAATAGACAATATTTATTTAATAATATTATTTATTACAACAATAATACAACTTGATAGTAGTAGTCATCACATAATTATAAATATACATATAAATATCTAATAAGATGGTATACAAATTGGTATAATAATCAATTATTTGTTTTAATTATAAGTTTTTCAAATTTTTGTAAATATATATAGAATTACCCCACCCTGCTTGTACCATCGATATAAACGATACTAATGAATGATGATAGATATAGTGAAGTTGGCCCGTAATGAGGAATTTACCAGAAATTAACTTTTATATATTTTTTTTTTTTATACAACTTAGAATGGCAAACAAGCTGACGAACTGATGGAAAGTGGTAACCGTCGCCTATAGACATGAGCAGTACCATGGACATAATTAACTGTTACGCCCATGATACCCCCCATGCGTTGCCATTCCTGAGGACTCAGGTGTTATTCCTCTGTACCCGTTCCATTCATTATGCAAACACATTCATGTTACCCAAGCAATCGACTACACTTACTGTACCATTGGTTCCAGCAATTACCGCTAGACCCTACTGCAAATTTTTTGTTCCCTTATCAATTAGATTAGATATTTTCACTTTTTTAAAACTTACTCATAATAAACATCGTAGATATTAGAAACTGAGGCAAAATTACAAAAAATGGACGCTTTAATTGAAAAAGTATAATAAATGTCAATACTTATTGAAAATATTAAGTATATACGAGCAAAAGTAACGATTACAACCAACTTTCAAACAAGACTGGCATTCGGTCATCCAATTGTTTTTTCAATAAGGTCTCAATTTAATTAATTTTTGTCAACAATGACTTGATTTTGTTTTAAACTTACTCGAACAATGATATTACAGTAACACAGTGTTTTCATGTATGTTAGTCATCCGTGTTAACATAACTGGATATGAACCGAATAATGTAGTGCCTTAATTTTCGCTATTTACATACTCTATACCGTAAGTCATGGATGCAGGTCCCACATACAAAACACGGATCTCTTACTGAATCTGGGATAAACAGAAGACATTAGCTTATATTTACCAGCATAATAAAATAAAAAAAGAAATTTACAATAAAGTGATGTAATCTTAATAAGTAAGACAAAATAAAAATTTGCCATACTGCAAACTAAATATGAGTCTATACTCGTACTTATTTTCGCTGTCGGCACCCAGAACTAATGATAGTATTTTTTTTTACATCTTTTGCATGTTTTTATACGTTGCGGTTTGACTGAATGCTATTTATGTTTCAGCTTAGAATAACAAGAATTAGTATCCGAGATTATTTCCGACAATTAGTGTTCTTGTTATGTAGATATAGGTAAACTACTTCTAAATTACCTAACATAAAAGTGATAATTTTATAAGCTGTCTACGTGTAAGAAGTTGTATAAATATTTTAGTAAATTAGGTATTAAATCCATAGTATTCTAATTGTTATAGCAGGTACCTTTTTTTCTCTTTTTTTTTTTAATGGATGATAATGGAATGGTAATTTCGTCTATGCTATCAGTATATACTCATACTGGCGGAGCACCAGTGAGTGATGGTAGGTGAGGATGACAACACGTTAGTTCCCTCATCGTTATTAATGCACTAGGAATTAACCAAGATGGTTCCCGGGGGAATCGCATGGAGATCGACCTGATAGGGTATATTGCTAGCAATGGGGCTTTTAGACCCCATTACTAACAATCCCTTTCTCCTCCGTACCTATCATTAAAGAGATAAGAATTGGACTGGTAAAGAGGTTAATTGGTGTTGGTCTGTAGGTTTTGTACGGCTAGTGCAAGTTACTGTAGTTCTTTACAAACCGCAAGAGGCAATAAACTCGTAGTAGTTAGAAGAGTATGGCTGTCTACGCTTCTTGCACACCGATATCAATAATACTTAGATTCACGCAACGCATATCGAATGGATTATCCGCTTTACTTTTTGACAGCATTTTGCATATTGTTCGCTGTAAAACAATATTGAAATGGGTAACGAATTTTTACAATTCATTTTTTTATATTTCTTTACACGCTAAATACAAAATTAATTGATTTTTAATAGATCGTCTCTATTTTATTTATATTTCTAATTTTTTTTTATAAATAAAGGTATCTTGGAAATGTTTGACTTAAAGTACTTCGCTTATTCTCTACAATGTTCTTAAATATACATATATGAACGTAGATACATTTTTATTAACAACAGTTTTAAAGGAATAAAAACATTTTACTTTCACTAAGGCATTACTGTGTACCTATTGCACAAGAACAACATGTAGGTATCGAACATATAGTTGCGTGATTTCACATTTATAGGCATAGACAGACTAGGCCTGCAGATTTATCTATGCTCGTCTGTTTACTATGTAATTCGGGTAGTAGATATGTCACCTGTGCAATCAAATTAATGGAATACGGTAACTATTGCCTTTACGGAGTTTTAGCAACATTCTTGTAATGTATTTATATGAGAGTATATTATATAGATACATTAAGACATAGGACATCCAAAATTAAATGTAATTTATGTATGAGTATGATTTTTTTTTAAATATCCGTTTTAAAATATCCATTTATAATATGCCGTAGCAAACTTTTGGCACCAACCTACCTATTTTAAGATATTTAGCCAAATACAGTCATATAGTACAAACCAAAGGAATAATAAGTATAAAAAAAGAAAGTTCTATTTGTTTATTGGTTTAAAGTATATTTTTTAAATAGAACTATTTATTACAAATAACAATACGGAAGTAGTTAAACTGATAAAAACTCTATAGGCGTATAACTATTTTGCGTGGGGAGGAGGGGGAAGGGACTCTGTTAGGTCGACTTCTACATGGTACCCCCTGGAAACCATCGTGCTGAATTCCAGATGTATTCATGATGGGCCGGCTGACCTGCCTTTTCATTGTCACCAATCTCTCACTGGCACCTCGCCAGCGTATACCGTTAGCGCAGGTGGGGTTACCAATCCATTATCATCCATTAAAAAAAAACCTGTTCATGTAATGAATTTTAATATCAATTGATGTTTTTAGGGTTCCGTAACAAAAAGATACAAAGGAATCCTTACGATGCGACTTTGTCCGTCCGTCTGTCTGTCACAGCATTATTATCTCAGCAACTATTGATCTATCGATTTGAAATTTTGAATAGTTTTATATATTATTGGTCCTCATATATTGCGATGGCAATAATTAAAAAATATTTTTATTTTCTTTGCTAGGGTATCCTAAATGAGTACTCAAAATTTTAAATTAGCTACTAGTCTAAGTGGAGTATTATATAAAAGAACTTTATTTATACATTTTAAGATTGATTTTTATTTATTTTTATGCTATGTAGTTATTTAGCTATGATTGTAAATGTGAGAAAAAACCATTCCCCTCTTATCTTCGAAGTTTTTAAAGCGAATAATCTGAAATGATTGTATTGAATTTATTTATTTTATTTATTTATTTGAAAATTACTCACCACACTTACAGTTTCCCAAAACGTGTAGTGAGCCATAGTTTTATTTTACAAACTTACAAATTTTGTACAACATTTTAAAAATATATTTGTCATTAAATATGTCTGAGCAATCAGAGAAAGCAGAGAAATAGCTTGATTGAATGAATAATATAATAATAAATAAAGCTTATAAAATTATATGTGAATATTGCAGGAAAATAACAAGATGTCTCTAATTTTACCGTTTATGACAAATTATTGAAAAAAAAAACCATAAACAACCTTAATTATATGGTTCAGTTTTTAACCACAATTATAGCCCAAAATAAGAAATTACGTATTATAGTATCAATAATTAGATGTCTATTTTGTACAAAAAATGCAATAATGGCAATTTATTTTACTCCTTATATATTTATGTACGGAACCCTCATCGTGTGAGTCCAACACGCACCTGATCGATTTTTTTTTATTACACTGGTAGTAATAAGTGGAAGCGTTGAGTTGAGTGACGGTAAATTATAATTATTTCCTTCTTATGGGTCTCAGAAAATGTTAGAAGATTGATGAGTCCTAAGTGCTGTATTTCCAAGAACTAAGGTAAATAAGGTAAACACTGAAGCTAGTGGTGCAATTTTAATAACATTCTAAAAATACACAATATCTTGCTTAAATTAGGAATAATCGAAACGCAAAGACTTGTGCATTGCTGCTTTAAACCAAAAATAGAAAAGATGATTATTTATACGCCATATTATACAATCTGCCGTATAAAACCCTACTTTCACTAAAAGATTTCTTTAAAATTAAAATTCATAATCTTTGTTTATTTATTTATTTAAATGACTTTGTACATTCACTTTGTTTTAATAAATTATTATATTATTTCTAAGATAGCACTCATTTCAAGGTAATGTTGACGCTGTTCGTAGACGCGCAAGCTTCGTATTCGACCTCATTACTTTCTACCAGGTGATATTCAGGTCAATCGCTTGACCTTGAAACCCTGAACATAGAAAATTAAAAGCAAGTTGAACATTTAGGGTTCATGATTGAAAAAAGTTTTTGTCCTCTGTTGTGCTGATCTCTTACAAAATATAAAAGAAAAGGTATAATTTCAAGTCAGGTTTTATGTAAAAAAAATTGAAAACAAATTTCCCAGAGAATGAAGCTAGAGAGATGAAATAAATATTTTTTTAAATAAATAGAGCGGATCTATTTCCGCTCGTAGAAAGAAGAATAATTTAAATTTAGGTAATTTAAACTACTTAATAAAAATTTAGTATTTAAACGATGTTTTTCTTCTGTCTGGTTATTTGTTTTGTGGCCAGAGGGGTAAGTAACATAGTTTCGAAATTCAAGCGAATAAGATCAGTACAACTAGCTCTATAAAAATAACCATTGCTGAAATCTATCATTATTAAAAATTTAGATCAAATTAAACATCATAAAATCTAATTACGAAACCATAAAGTTTCTATGCTGTAAAAAACTCATTAAGAGTTAGAGAACAGAACTTGTTTTTTTTTATGTCAGTCGTTAGTCAAGCTTCAAAGCTAAGCGCAATCAATTTCACCTCTGAATCCTATGATTTAACAGACTGATAAACACAAAGTACATTTAGTATATGCATTCATATGCACTGTTATAAATATAAAAATTCTTTTAACTTACATCTTCAACAAGTTAATGTAAAAAATAGCTAGATACTTTAACTGTAACAATAGCAAAATGATTAATATAGGACCATCACAAAGAATAACTATTTATTTCAAGAAAGTTAATAAAATCGATCAAAAGTTGACAAAGATATCGCGTAAGAAGTACATAGAAAGTATGCGAAATCGTTTACACCTATTCATAAAATTGCTAAATGCTTTTTATTCCAGAAAACCTTTATAGTTTCAACAGGCATAATGATGACAAAAGTAGATAACGTTATAAACCAATAAAATATAAATAAACACGACTTAAAGGCAACCTTTGGCAAATAAGACATTATTCTTAATAATTTAAGCTAGGTGCCATTACTCAGTTGTTATGTAGCACTAGACCAATGCCTTTTTTATCCCAAAGTGTTCGATTTTTAATTTAAACCAAAATACAGCAATGAATATCAATTTTTGTTTCATACATGAGTTTTACCTTACTGAAACTAAGTGCAACACTGTCCAAAAGAAGTTTTATTTACTAATATTATTAATCCACCATCAACTTAAACATTAAAACTCACAATTACATAAGAAAAAAAAAATAAGTATAAGTTAATAAAAAAATCACATTTCTGCATAACAGAATATTTAAAGCATTACCTAACAAATAAATAAATATAAATAATATTTTAGAATTCCTTTGTACGGTAAGTTTTGTTTTCGGTGAAACAGATACTAAAAGTAAAGTTTTTCAACTTTTTTCTTTGATAATCCTCGATGAAGACTGTATCCACTATATTTACTGATTCGTTTTATTCTTTTATTTGCCTATCAAAATTATTTAATTTAACCACAAAACATTTAAATAAAATATTCTTAAAATTTTGGTTTGACGCTTGCCTACCAAATGGTAAGATAATTCTAAACTATAATTGTACATAAATATATATCATTAAAAACTCTTACCGTATTTTTTCATAGCGGTTGTTTTACGTTCATAGTAGTCGTAATCCTGTTTATGACCATTTGGATCCTCGTTGTAGCCACCATCACTATTCTGTAATGTGACTCTCCATTCCCATTGTTTGTTTACCTTATTCCAATCATTTACATCACTGTAACGGTTATTGATATCATTAATCACCATAGAAGGTGATGACCACTGTACAAACCATTGATGGGACAGCGCCATAATTTGTTTACATAATGTAGATATCAAAATTAAATTATCCTTCTCACTTTGACGAAAATCATTATTCACAAATAAATAAGGAGATTTACGAGTAAACAACGCGGTGTACGCGTGAGTACAAGCAGAGTACTAAAGCTTGTCTGGTAGCATGCGCCTACGTCCCTTTCAATGTGAGAATGCATTCACTTTAACAGCTCATCTGCTTATGGAGTAATTAAATTAATCACTGAAGCAGTCTATTGCGATACAATATTACATAATGAAAATCTAGGTGCTATTAAAACGTACTAGTATATGTAAGTCCATGAATTATACGCAACAAGTGAAGGTATATTATAAATGTAATTATATATAAATAAATATAATTTAAACAAAACGTATTCCTTACCCCTTGACAAACTTGTGTTGTATCAAATCGCAGCTCTAATTTGTAGCAATAAAAAACACTACTTTACACAGGAACAAAGGTAAGAAAATCAGCAACGACATTTAATATATCTGGCTTGCAGGCAGACCTTTACATATATGCTAAGTATATAGAGTACCTACATGAAATGATAATTTCCTAACTTGAAATAAATTAATAACAATTACTGTAAATTACAATATAACACTATTTATGATTCTATCTTTACGCAAGGTTTCTTAAGGGCTAAAAAAATGTTGGCATTACAGAAGTGTCGAATTGACAATAATTGATATTGTAATCCAAAAAAAGTGAGAGATATAGATATATCTAAACTCAGAAGTTGTACCTGAATAGAGAACTTTCTATAAGGCATAGGTCGTGACAATCGATTATATCAAGCTATGCCCAATTTATTTAAAATTAAATGGATTAGTTCTGGGTGGTGTCGTATCATCAAGCGTCACGTAAATAAGTAGCATTTAATTTATTTATTGGTAATTGCCGAAATAAAAATAAATAAATATATTCATGACTTTATAGAAATAATTTTATAGAAAATGTAAGTAGAAAATATATTTTAGTCGTGCTATTATATTTTAAATGCTGATCGAATATGTCACAAATAGCATACGAAATACGAATTCATAAGTTGCATCTGCTCCTTACCTTCATATCGACTATTGACTACTACTACTACTCTATTTAGGGGTATTAAATTTCAATAAATAAATAAATTTAAATTTATTTAATTCTGAGTTATCAGCAGCGTTATATCTAATTTTTCTTATTTATTTTGATATTTTTGTTATTTCAGGCTAATTCTATAATATATAATGGGACCTTTAGAAATCTGTTGTCTTCGCTAAGTAGAAACCTAATTAATGTCAGGTACTATCCTTAATCTATAGTTAGTCCGATACTAGTGTTCGCTGTTAATTCAATTCTAAATCATTATTTTATTCACTCAAAATTGAGATTGTATTGTGTGATTTCCGAAAGTGATATTTAGTTTCTATATGAGCGGGTTCGGCCACAGAGAAAATGCTGTTTTTTTTTTTTTGTTTTGATAAAATCTCTAAACATTTGTTGGGATTTGATAGGAGTAAATATGTTTGATTATATGTTTATTTAGTTTACAGTATCTAGTAACAATCATTTCACAAATATTGATGTAATTAAAAATATAAGTTATGATGTGTTATTTTGCAAATACTCGTAGCCCCTTTACAAGTGGATAGGCATTCACCATTCTCTTTGAGTGTGCCAAGGACTCATCTTGTTATAATGTTATTTCTGCTTCCTAGTCTTTTAATAACATTATGCAATTCTTTACGAGTTTATATCGGGTTTTATACAAGTTGAGTGCTATCAAACGTAAACTTAATCATTATCTTTTTAACTGAAATAGTAAAGTTGCTTTGATAATATTATATATATTATTAATAGTTTATTTTTTTTTTATTTATATAACAAAAATCAATTTATAACCAAATTTCTGGGATTGCCCAGAAAGGGTAATTAGAAGCAAGATCATGTTTTAATTTCTTCTATAAAATTCAAAATTTGTGACGCAATAATGAAAGCGTTCGATATTTAAATTTCAGAATTCAAACGTGCTCTTTTTTGTAATTGAATTATTGAATTGAAATTGTACACTAAATTGCTGACAGAACTCATGAAAGTCAGTAAGTATCAACGATTTGTATATATATAATCATATTTATATATGTTTACTTTTATGAAGTTATTTTAATAAAAAATAAGCCAGGTATATTGCAATTTATTTTATAACAAATTTATGTATTATATTTTTCATATTTATTACTTATTGTTAAATGATTAAATTAGTTCGAATGTTTAGTATATTTATAAAAGAGTTTTGTGTATTTTTGGGAATGGCCCATTATTCCCAAAAAATACACAGGATAATTTACATGGGCAAAACTGTAGATTTTAGCTTACTTTTAAATTAATAACTTCATAACTTTCCGACCGATTGATTTATTTTCTTTTCTAAGTACGTACCTACTAAATATAAAAATCATAACTTCTTATTCCTACCGCGACAGAACGCGATAGCTACAGCGTGCTTATGTATATATTGTTTAAATTTTAATTGTAAGTTTTTCCAATAATTGGAAACCACGTCAACACAATTTCGCTCCACACTCTTGTTACCTTCTTTAACTGTTACCAGGTCACTTTTGATAAAAATGTATGCAACGAACGTCGTCTTGTTTGCTTTTACTCTTAGCTCAGTATTAGCTATATATCCTTATTTTGACACACAAGATTTTATATATAATGTTCCAAAAGTGTACAGAATATCTATAACATTGGATAAATTACTGGATTACTATGAACAAAAGCCTTCGAAGGATCCCGAGTGGTATATATCTTTGGGACTTGCAAGAGGTCAGTTTTTTTTTTCAATTAAATTTATGATTGATAATAAATAAAATTAAATAATAAAATTTATTTATTCACGTATAAAAATTCTCTAACTTAAGAGTGAATTGACGAAGACGTCAGAAAGACTTTACATAAAGGTCAACATGGGTACCGCGGTCCTTTCGGCGTTTATGCCGTGAAGCTATTATGTTTCGGGTTTTGGTTTGAAGGGTAGGATATGGTAGTGAAACTACAGGGTACGGAGCGATAACACTACAGTCATTAGCATATTTAACATTATTTTCAGGGTGGTGAGGGGGGCTGGACGCTTAAAATAAGGCACATACGTACTTTTAGTTATGTATTTGCGAAGTTTCATTAATACGTGGGATGGGCAGGGATCTAGATACGGTTGACTATAATTTTTATGAACGTGTAAAAAGTACTGACACAGTCTATTTTCTAATGTCCATGGTGCTCTTGTACAAAGGTAACGGTTACCGCTTTCCATCAGGTGACCGTCAGCTTGTTTGCCATTCTTAGTATGATAAAAAAGACTAGAAGTCACTTAAAGAAATACAGCTCCCTTTATTTTTATAATATTAAGATAATGATACTTTATTATAAATAGGTACGTTGATAGCTGATTTTATATATTACGTTACATTGACAGGTGATTGCGTTTCACAACGCCTATTATGTATCTAACTTTCTTTTTTATATACTTAGAGCTATACAACATTCTTAGTAATATTATATTATTTAGTAATATTATTATATTCTCTTAAAAGTATCAAAGTAAGAAAATAATAAATGTACACACATTTAAATAAGTATAATTCGAATTTGAGTAATAAAAATCTGTGTCAACCAACTTAAAAGTTCACAATGGTCACCAAACGTGATAAATGTCTCGCTATTTTTAGAACAGATGCTAGATACTAACATGTTAGAGATGGTTAAAGTTATACTATAAGTTAAGATTTTCTTCCAGGAAAACAAATAAAGACATCTGTAAATATGAAGTAAATATGTAAACTGCTATAATTTTTAAGAAAATGATTAGATAAGTAAAATACGCAGATTGTGATGTTGACAGAATCAGTTTTAGTATTATTCTTTTTTCAATTATATGGCTTTCATGAAGAAGCTCTTAAATAAACAACATACGCCTTATCGAATTATTTGACAATGTTTAATATATTATATGTAGGTATATCTAGTTTGAAATGCACTTATTGTATTCATTATATGAGATTGTAGTTATGGACATCATCAGCAGTAACCAACTACACTGGTTACTGCTAATCCTTCTAACAGGATTTATATAATATATTAGAGTATATGTAAATTTTGTTTCACGGTTATTGGAAATATAATTGATTAATAGTGTAATATTGCCATTTGCTAGTTTATGGCATTCCAATATTGAACTATATCTCTATTAATTCCGTATCGTTATATATTTTCGTGCAAATATAACGACAAAAATTTTAAATAAATATTACTGTTTATTATTATATATCATGGGCGAAACAGTATACTCTGTTATGTCCATGGTACTGCTCATGTCTATAGGCGACGGTTACCACTTTCCATCAGGTGGGCCGTCAGCTTGTTTGTCATTCTAAGTTGTATAAAAAAAAGCTTCTATTATCTTATTCATTTGATTGTTCATAGTGTTTTTAAATTTTATATCTTTATTATAATACACATATTCAATACTGAATCATTCATTATAATTTTAACTTTTACATTTATATTATAATCATAGGTCAGCTAGAATATACTATAAATGAATTAGACAAATCTGTGCCAGAAAAACTACGTGAGAACTTAAAAAACATAACAAGAAAAATGGATCGCATTCGTAACAACACTGATTACACTAAGCTGGTTTATCGCAGTAAGGACTATGAATACGGTTCGTATATTCGTTGTGGTAATTTTAAAAGTTTTTTTTTTTTATTTCTTTTACCTCCAAATTAATTGTAAATATTTAAAGAAACTCAACAGTATGTATAATGTTTACAAGCGACCCACGTAAATGTATATTGCTTAACAACAAAAACAATACGTCTAATGAAAGATACATGTGCAACCAAGGAAGAATATGAAAATACTAATATTATAAATATAGTTTTTTTTTTAATGGATGATAATGGAATGGCAACCCTGCCTGCACTTACGGTATACGCTGAGGGGACACCAGTGAGGGATGATAGGTGAGAATAAAAAAGCAGGTCACTTAGCCCATCGTGATGAATACACCTGGAGGACCTGACAGGGTATATTGCCAGCAATCACTTCCCGTACAGTTTGTTTGTTACTTCTTAGTATCTTAAAGAATCTACTAATTATTATAAAATTTTTGGGAAGGAGTACGAGAAGAATAGTTTTTCTTCAGGTCCCACGGGCGAAGTCGTTAATACAGTAATCTACAATATTAAATAGAATCCAGAAAGCAAATCTTCCCGATTAAATAAAAGTCGGTTATCGCTTTTATCTATATTTTATCTATATTATACATAGATAAAAAAATTGTCGAATTGAGAGCGGCTTCTTTTTTAAAATCGGTTAAAATGAATCTTACAAATCATACTTACCTTTACCTGAATTTAAAACTTGACTAAAATTTTGAACAATATATAAATGAGATAGGCTATATTTAATGCATACACGAGTTTAAATTACCACACCATACAGACTAAGTTTATATTATATAAATGTATAAACCTATTTATTATATTAGATATGGCATGAGGTATTAGTTCTCTCGACATAAAATGTCAACTTTCTCATAAACGACAAATCGTAATAGTCCGTATCTAAAACAGTCGTTACAATAAACCATTGACGATTCTAATCGCTGTCGCTTTCATTGAACAATTAAGCCTACTTTTTATCATGGTGACGCAACTGTAACACCATAATGCAAAATACATACGAAATTCTACAAAATTTGCATAGCGGGAAGAAAATAAAATTCCGTTTTACCCGCAATTAATGTCAATCTAAAAGACTTTTAGATATGTTTACACAAATATGAAAGTCTTTTAATTTTGTTAATTAAATTAAAAAGTATGTATACCCGATCGATTGGTTAACTTAGTTGTAGTTGGTTAGTTGGTAATGATTTATTTTTTTAAATTGAACATAAAATTTGTACAATACTTTTTCATGATTCGTGTACATCGTTGCAGTATACCTAGATACGAGTATAATATAGTATTTACCTTTTTTTATTTAAAAGAATAAGTGACAGCTCGCCTAATGGAATATAGTATCGTCGTTTATAAACAACGCCACGAGAATAATCTCCTCTTCCATTACTATTCTTAAGGATAAGATTTTATGTCTTAGTACACACTTTTCGTGTTTTATTTTTGGTATCAAATCGTATCACCATGTCAGCCTTTAAGTCTCCACTGCTGAACATAAGCTTCTCCTTTGGGGATTTTGCCAGTAGTTACCATGCTTGGCAGGTGGATTGGAAACTGCAGTTAGGCTTTAGAAATATTTTAAGAGGGACGCTGCTGCCTATCCCTTGAACTCCCTTAGTCGGCTCTTAAGACACCCACAGGAACGGAAGAAGTGGCCTATCCCATGCCAGAACCACATGGCACCAAATCGTATATTTCGTACTTAATCGTATTTTTATAATATATAAGTCAGAGTTTTATGTGACGCTTCTAATATGTACTATCAACTATTTCTGTTATTTTGCCTAAATGATGATACGTGTGTATTTGTATTTGAAAGTATTTTCTGATGTTACAGGTATACAAATTCCCTTTTAGTTGATTCTTCTCTAAGCAGAGCGAAGTCTTCATTCTCGTATATGTCGAAGAGAGTTAATCGATGGAGACGACTTAGAGTCTTCTCTTGTGACAATTCTTATTTTTAAAGTTAATGATGGTAATAAATGTTAATGCTTATAGAATTTTCCAATATCTTTTACAGTTGTAAAATCTATATTCGAAAATATGGGGGTAACTTTATTAGAACCTATTACAATTGGTACTATGGGAACACAGAAGCCCTATCGGTTCACTTTTGAGCAATATGTACAAGAAGCGAGAACTAAGATGCCGAGTAGGAAGGCTGCAGGTATGTTAATATATATATATATATATATATATATATATATATATATATATATATATATATATATATATATATATATATATATATATATATATATATATAGTTAATTAAAAACATTAGTTACTATATAGTTAGTTAGGTTAGAATAGTTCGATCTTCAATCCAGAAAACTTAAGGCGCGATTAATTTTTTCACTATTTCCTTTTTTATCAATATTCTGCCCAATGTTAAAACTTCTATTTCATCCCAAATAATAAGGAAGAAATATCTTATCAAAACACAGATTTCAAATAAATATTTAAATAAATTTAATTTTAGTTCCTTTTATTAATTAGTTGTCAACTGACAATAGGAGAAAAGGATTTTTCGCAGGTAAAGTCGCAACAGATCCTTAAAATCAATACCATTATAATATGTATTATAAAATGAGAAATGCATTGTATCCTTACAACTGACTGCAAAAAGAATAATGTTTTCAATTCGGTTGTATTTTTTATGTTTCTTACCCCTGGTCCCTGGTGAAAATTTTATAAAAATCGGTTCCGCAGTTTAGTTTTAAAATCATAATAACTGGTTTTGCCACAATTGAAATCGTTTTTTTTTTGTGGTATATAATCCTAAATTATGGATTATTGCATAGGTCATTAATGTCTTTTCAAAATTAAATGAGCTAAAAATAATACTTATCAAGTCATTATTGCTCAAGAAAGCAAGTAATGTGAAAAGTATTTGAAAAAATATTTAAAATAGAAAAATATTTCCTGAAGTAACGAGCACAGAAATGATATTCGAATCACGAAATTCGAACTATTCCTGCAATTGTCAATTCAACACATCAATATAGGCAATAAAGCTAAACCTGCATATGAAAGTAAAACATACCTATTCTAAATATTTATTAGTTTATACAGAACGCTATTACCAAATACCAAATGTTTTAAGCACTCCAATTTGCACCTGAGTATGTGCGGCGAATTGGCAAATTTTAAAGTGAAAGTATTTAACCTTGTTACGTATTTTAATAATTACAGATGCGTGTACAATGCAGTTATTGATATCAGCTATGGAGAGCCAGACCACGCAATCAGAGGGAGTTTGTGAATTGACACCTGAGTGTCAGACACAGATCATGCAAGGGTCGGGTCTTGCGTTCCAACAAATGAGTCGTGTACGCGCAGCTATATTGGCTCGCTTATTCGATTGCATGGAAGGTGTTGATCTTTCAGCACATATTTACAAATTATGTATTCAAATCTATAAGGAGACGAAATCACTCGAAGCGTGGGATCATCCTGCTGGTACTAGAACGTTGTTTATGCAACAAAGTAATATATTAAATCCTACATAACATCCATTTAAAATTTTCTGGCGTTAAATACAAGTACGATAATATTATACATATTTTTTGTAGTTTTATATTGTTCATGGCAAGGTTATGGAGAGTTCATAAAACCACGATGGATGAATAAGATTATATCTTGGCAAGAACCTAAAGGATGCTATGCAGATGATCGTCAACCTTTTATGAAGTTAACTGGTTTTATTGGCCCTACTTCTTCGCCTCCTCCGAAAGATCGAGAGGTACACAGTATATTACTTCACACATTGTTACCTTAATTGTATTTTAATTCAACTAAAAATTTAATTATTTTTTTTTTTTACAGGAAGAGTATAGAGTAAAAAAAGCTGCGAAATCTGAAGGCGGTAATTGTAATTCGTTAACATCTGCCATGGCTCTCGGATCACTAGTAATATATGTGAGAGCCTTGCTCGAAACTGACCAAGCATTCCAGTATGATGTATTTTTATAAGTAATTTACGAATATTATTGTATAACATTAAATCTTGTGATTCATTATTCAATTTACTATTATTGCTTCAAATTACTATACTCACCTTATATATCATTTACTTGGTTTAGAAAGCTTCTCGATCCTAAAATAAAATTCCAACCAAACCTAAAATTTTTTTATGGAAAATTTAATACAGATACCCTCTAGTGACAACCTCAAGTGCATTGCAGGGAGTCAGTGGACGCAAGTTGCTTAGGACCGTGCTTTATGGCAGTCTATAGGGAAGGCTTAAGTTCAGCAGTGGACGGATAATGGCTGAGATGATGGTGATATTACAGACAACCGATTTGATAAATTTGATTAAATAAGAATTGAAAAATAGAACTTCTTTCAATAATTTGTTCGTTTGTAAGTACTATTTATTGTATTTACTTTCTTTATTCGTGATTGCGCAATGAACATTACCCAGATTATAATTCTAGATATTCACAGTATTCTATTGAAATATTGTACTGGAAGTACTGAAATAATGTAAGATTGGTGAATGATGATTTAATCTTACTTCCGTAAGTGAATTAGCAAATATACTTTTAGATTTTATTTAAAAATAATATTATTATATTTTTCTTGCTTTTTGGTGAATATATTTAGGACAAACAACTTATAGCTAAAAATCTATAAAAAAAAACCTAATTAGGATTTTATAATTATTTAAATAAAATAAGAGAAATATATCTAAAACAAAAATAATTGGAAAACTCATTGAGGTTATTATGTCTTCGTTATTATTAATTTTAATAATAATAATTTATAATAATTGCGTTTACGAACCTAAACAACTAATATTTAAGCTTACAACCCGATACCACAGTTAGTACATTTTGTCTGCAATTAAGTATGATCATATAAAAAATATCCATATTCAATGGCCATTCTAAAGAATCCTGAAAGAGATATGGCAATTGTGCTTTGTTAAAATATGGATATTTAAACTTTTTATTGAGGATCAGTCTGTATAGCTTAATTCGTTTGCCTTTTCCATTGTTAATAAGTCGATACTACTGTTACTACTAATTTTATATAATGACAGTAAAATTTGACATAATATTTTATGATTAGTTTGAGACAATCTGTAATATTATTAATATGGTTAAAATACTTCAGATATTTACAAGAAACATGTGCAGTATTGCACTGGGCAAGAAACCACCTATACCTGTATTTGGTTTGTAACACAAACTCTATTTCCATCATCAAAAATAGCAACTATACCCAAAATTCGAAAATGTGATAGTTATACCAATCAAAATTTGAATTAGAAGAGAATTCCTTTTTCCCATCGTTCACTTTTTACTTGTTCTTAGGTGTATAACTATACACCATATTGTCACTTGCCTATAATTGGGATAGATAGATGAATAAAGGTATAAGATTAATTGCTTCAATTCAAACAGAACCCATGCTACACTTATATGCTGACAACGTATCAATGAATGACGATAGATATATAGACGAAGTCTCGTCCATTGGCTTATCGTGATAAATTCACCGGGAGGATGGAGAAGAAGGGATTGTTAGTAATGCAGACTATCAGTTCTATTGTTAGCAATATATCCTCAATATATCATATCAGCTTTATCATATATATACATATCACGTAGCCCCCCTTGGCAACCATCGAGCTGAATTCTAGGTGTATTCATAACGATGGGTTAATTGACCTGCCTTTTCATTGTCGCTTATCATCCTTCACTGGTGACTCCCAAGCGTATGCCATTAGCGCAGGCGGGGTTACGTCTCCATTATTATCCATTAAAAAAAGATAATTTACTGAGAAATAACAATGACAATATGTGGATCGACCAGGTAGAGAGATAATATTGCTTGCAATGAAACTAACTACTAGTGTCATACTTAATAATCTTTTCCATCCTGAGGGATTCTTCATATGATCGCGGGTTACAGATTTGCACAATAAAAGCATTGTATTCATTGGTATTGTTTGTATTAATAAGTATGTTTTTTATGAAAAAAAAAAAACAAAATTACGAAGAAAATAATACCTATTTAAGGTAATTAATTAACTATGTGAATCAGTTCTCTGGTCACCTATGGCAAAGCTTCATTAGTGCTTAGATTGCACTGTATAATGTATCAAGAATATTGAATTAATTTATTACATTATCGTCCAATATCGGTTATTTCCGGAAGACCAAGTGTTTTTAAAAACTCACCTAATAAATATTATATTATTGGCGTAGCTTACGTAAATACTCTACAAATAAAAGAGAAATTATATAAAGCTGCCTACATTTAATATTTAAATAATAAATATAATTTAAATATAAATATCTGTTGCATTTTAAAATTTACATAAGACAATTTGTTGTAAGTATATAACTTTTCTAATATAAAAAGAATAAAATTTGGTTTTAAATTGACGAAGAGATCGCAATGAATTTAATTTAATAGGTATTTAAATTTATTAAAGCTGTTTTTTTTGCTAAAATCTTTTTAAGATCTTTCAATATAATCTTTCAATATAGCATTCGATGTATTATTTTATATTATTCTATGTTATTACATTTATTTTAATTTCGTTGATCTGACCTGTATAAAAAGTAGCCTAAACTTTTCTCCGTCTCAAATAGTGTGTGTATACCAAATTCAATGTATCGTTGTTCATTCAATGTATCAAATTCAAAATACTTTCATATTTATAATAATGCTAAAATAATAATGAATAACGATAAATAAGGATGACGCAAAAAACTTAATAAAATTCATAATGCTATCAATTTTTGTTATTATAAAAGGAATTGAAGGTAGATACGTGTCTGCTCTATATAGTGCAGCATCTCAAATGAAGCAATTAGAAGAAGTAGAGAAGCACCTTCGCGCTTTGCAAAAAGAACTGCTCAAACCCAAAGTTGTCGATTTCGTCGAAACTAGTATGATATCAGTTGCAGCTAAAGCCAAAATGTTACAAGAAATAGGGAAGGATGCTGGTACGTAAAGAATGAATGAAGTTACGATAATTTGTATCAACACATATAATAAAATCGTAACTGGTTGCTTTCTGTAAATGGAAGATATATGAGAAAAACTAATATAGGGCATATAAAATGCTATAGCTAATTCAACTGATCGGTTATTTTATAGCATTTTATATGTGATTCTTTAGATTGATTTTTTTTTTATTTATTAACCGATTGAAATAAAATAAACACTAAATGTTAAGTGGAGCAAACCACAACGCATTAGTAAAAACCGTATTCAAATTGGTTAAGTCGTTTCTGAGATAAGCGTGCACAAACTTACAGACAAACAGACTTACAGATAAACAGACAAAGATTCTAAAAATCATTGTTATGGGTTCTACTGCGTACATAAAGCTCCCTTATAGTAGTTTTTCTTATATATCTTCTATGTACAGACAGCGACCAGTTACGATTTTATTATATGTATTGATTAAAATTATTATTTAATCTCCCTGCTAGCATGTACTGATAAATCATGCGGAGCTATTTGCAATGTCGAGAATTTATCGTATCTTTTTTATTTGCCGCTGGGTGTCACAAAACTCACAAGTCATACATTGTGAGTTTAGTCAGACTTGCTAACTCGTCATCATTTGTCTTTTTTGTTATACAACTTAGAATGGCAAACAAGCTGACGGTTCACCTGATGGAAAGTGGTAACCGTCGCCTATAGACATGAGTGGTACCATGGACATAACAGAGTATACTGTTTCGTCCAGGATCCCCCCCACTTGCGTTGCCATTCCTGAGGACTCAGGTGTTATTCCTCTGTACCCTGTAAATTCACGCCATATGCCACCCTTCAAACCGAAACATAGCCATGCAATCACAACTGCTTCACGGTAGAAACACGAATGGGACAGAGGTACCCAAGCAATCGACTTTTGTACAATGTCTCCCTCTGGTAAAGTGTCTGAAAAAGTAGCGACGTATATCTACTATGTCGCAGCAATATATCCGTTATTTTATTATCAGGCAGACAGATATCGGAGGTAAACGCCTGGGCATTGTACTTAGTATTTACAGTGATTTTTTTTTATTTCAGAGATGCCTGCTGCTGCTATAAACTTTTTAGCAGTTGTAGCTGAGAATGGCCGTTTGAAGAAATTGAGGCGAATGATAACTATGTTTCTCGCTGTGATGGTAGCACATAGAAACGATGCATTATGTGAAGTGATCACTGCCACACCTCTAGACGATGCTAATCGCAAGTCTCTCATGGATGCTCTGAAGAAGTTCGTCAAAGAAGGAAAGAAGATACAGCTTACAGAAAAAGTGGATCCATCAATTATTGGTGGGATAATTGTCGGTGTTGAAGACAAACATATCGATATGAGTATCGCTAGAAAAATACAAATGTACACTGACATATTAAAACAATCTATCTAGATTTAGTTATTTATTTAAAATAAATAACAGCATTATTCATTTAATCTTTATTTTTCATTATAACTTTGCATTAGGTAATTTAAAAAGTACACATATCTTAGAACTATGGTAACATAATTTTTTAAATTCGCTGTAGCGATATTTATAGTCTTATACTATATTCAACTATAGTCGCATTATTTCAAGGTGGAAGCGAGGTACATACCTCACCACTGTAAGTTAACTTCACTATATCTACTAATTCTGGTATCATGGAATCACAATTTTTTTCCATACATGATATGACGATAACATACTTTTTTGTTACCTAAACGGCCAATAATTCCACATGAAACTATTGAGCAAGTGATCAGACATGGCACGAATTTCTAAAGATATGAGACAGCTCCATACTTGTATGTCCCACTTTTGTAACCCCTGCTGGGCGTTATGAGATTGGCATGGTAACGGTGACTTCCGTGCCTTTCCTTTGGGGAATTCTTACATGGGGAATTCTCGATGAGAGCTTTAATTTTCTCCGCATGAATTCTAAAGTTAATTCTATTTGAGCTCAGTGTATCGGTCATAACTCTTTGGAAACTAGACGTTAAAACCCACAATTCCTGTTCTCCTTTAAGATTGTTCACGACTTTAACGCCACTAGCAAATTGCAATGTTTCCCTGTTAACAGCCAATTGATGGAAGTTTCTGGGAGAAAATTCAGTTGCTGCGTTCCAACACCAAATGCTAGGTGGTTCCATTAGCCCAAAGTACATGATGCCATTGCGATCCATTGCTTCAGCAGCCGCTTGATTTGGACGTTCTTCTGCAAATACCTAAACATACAAATTTATAATATCAGAACTGAAACATTTACTTTTACGAGTAAGTATATATTTAATAATAATAATAATAATATCACACAAATAAAACAACAAAAATCACAAATAAACCAATCTCCTAGTTCTCAAAGCTAAGATACTATGTATTATGAGGAATCAGGCAATGAAAAAGAAAGTTCTTTTTATAAATTGGCCTAACCGGGAATCAAACCTGAGACCAAATTTACGCAAAATAAGGTACCCAGGACTACGTCACGGAGATCGTCAGCATTTAATATTTTTTTTTTATAATTTATTTGTTTTATTTAAATCATAATCGTCCAATTGGATGTAAAATGCAGAGGTTGGCAAGTTGTGCTTGTAAAGAAGAAGGTCTAAGCTTATGCCGAGTACACACAGCGGCGAATTGACGTGTGGATGACTATTGATACGTAGTAATGACAAAGTCGCCGAAGTGTCGAATCAGTATCACAGCATAGACACGTGTCATTCTGGTAAAGTAGAAAATAAATAGTAACACAATGAAATTCACTTACTTTAATAGATTGTGGATCGGCATTGGAATCGTGGAGATAGGATTCATTTCGCAATAACGAAGTTGGCACTACATTCTCAGTAGTAGACGCTAGGGCGTGGAAGTACAAATCGCGGTCAATTCCATTATTTCGTAAGGGAGACAAGGCCATGCCAAGAATACCGTCCATTAAATCGAAACTTTGACCTGAAAATAGCATTATCATTTTATAACAATGAGACATTTTCATGAAAATTTATAAAAGAATTTTTTAGGTAGGTATTTTAGTATATATTAAGTTTCTGGTGGTAGAAATTGTATTTAACTTGTCTATCTTAGTTTGCTTAATTGTACTGTGAAGTACTAATGAATGTATTATCTTGCCATGGATTATACAAGTGGCAAAGAATGAGTCCCAGGGTTTTAATTCTCAGGAATGGCAGTGCATGGTGAGGGGTACAATAGGCGACACGGTGTATAAAGTCCAAAATGTTCTATCATGTATTTATGTCCATAAGCAATAGTTCCCACATACTATAGGTGTAGCTTATTTATTTAAACCAGCTTATTTGTCTTTCTCTCTGGTTCTATCTATTAATATAGAGCCGGGTATATTCAGTGATATCCATGGAATTATTACTTTTTAGTAATTTAATTTTTTATCAGACCATTTCACGTTAGATTTGATCAATCCAAATACAACTGCGGCCACAAATATGTCATCAGAAACATTTGAGTACTAAACACTAACACACTATAAGAAACACAACACAAATAAATCAGGAAAAATTGATAATCAATTGCATGTATATTGTTATGGTTGACAATAACTTATTACTATAATAAACACTAATAGTGTTCATACCATCAATAGTAAAAGTGCCTCGAGATGGATACGGGAACATAAGACGATGCGTGATTCGCCATGAACGATTTCTGGCAACATCAACAACCAGGATACCAAAACCGGATACATCCGCTACATAGACGTATGTATCCGAGCAGTCAGTACCTCGTTTTCGTACATCAACAACCTGGAAAAATATATAATTTACAATATTTAATTTCTGTAATAACAGGTTCAATATAAAAATGTATCTCTTAAATAATGTATCTCTTAATGTATAAAACAGTGATTACTGGCATCTGCAAAATGCTTGCATACGCACTTTGGCTTGTACAAAGTGGTACAAATGTTTGCTATTGTTCTACTGTAAGTCTGCTTTTTATTATGAAAACTATGAACGATAGCAATAATTTTATTTCATTTCTCCATGTGTGTATTCAATGAGCCGAATCTTTACGTATAAAGGTATGATCCCTTTCCTGTGTGTTTTGCCAGAGGGAGACTTGATACAAATGTCGTTTGCTTGAGCACCTCTGTCCCATTCGTGTTTCTAACGTGAATCAGTTGCGTTTGCATAGCTGTATTTCGGTTTAAAGGATGGGATAATGCAGTGAATTTACAGGGTACAGAAGAATAACACTTGAGGAGGGTATAGTGGTCGAAACAGTATACTCTGTTATATCCATGGTACTTGCTCATGTCTATAGGCGACGGTTACCACTTTCTAGCAGGTGGGCCATCAGCTTGTTTGCCATTTTAAATTGCATAAAACAAAATACTTTAAGTGCTAACTCGTATACAGCATCCAGATTATGGTATTTAAGACGTAGTACGTGTTACTACTTATATGTATTTAACAATGAAAGTCGGTAAATAACTGCAATCAGGATGAAGTCCATTTTTAAGTTAATTATTTACGTAGCAAATCGATACTCGGAAAATAATCTTGACGATTGTTCTATTGTTTAATAGTTATGTGTTCAACATGTAAATTAATTTACTTTTTTTTTAATCTTAAATCGTAGACGTAGACATTCATAAAATTTCTTGCGAAATGAGTTTACTGCGCTTATAAACATAGCAATAATTTAGCTTTGACTGAGGTATCGTAGTATTAAAAGAAAAAAACTGCGTCTGTAGCTCTTTGCAATTTTATTATATTTTATTATATTTATGAAATTTCTAATATAGAGCAGGTTTTCTATACTATTATCAGAACTAAAATATGTATCACCTTAATTGTCAAGAATACGATTATTAGTATTAGATTTTGAACATTAATCGAATTAAAGATTATGTAGTACTCGTATATTGAGAACAAACTTGCAGGGTCAGCTAGTTGGAAATAAATTAATCGTAGCATCTACACTGCTTATAAAATGCTAATAATGGCTATTTTACTATTTCAATGTAAAATGCACATTACGATAATAAAATAGCCATCTCGTAAGGCATTTTTTTACGAATTATATTAATATGTTAATATTATATGAAATATATCAATTATAATAATAATATTCACCACATTTACCTCTATTAAACTTATTATACAATATTGTTTTACATAAAATCAAATACCTTGATAATATACAATGACCTTATCCTTTTATTTCATTATATCTTTTGCCTTCAAGTAGGAAGATACCTATTGATGTTATTAAGCAGTATTCCTACATTTCCTTTTTCCATACTGTATAAAGTTTATTGGGTTGTGAAATATTATTTAAAAATAATATATTCCTACTTTTCCGTCTATACTTTTTTTTTTGTCTTTATGTATACTACGATCTGTCTCCTTGTTGGAACAATAAATAGTATTTTTGACGTATACTTTAATGGCGTGCTCAGTATGCGACTTGAGTCGCATCCTACTTTATTTTATAGAATAAAGTATACTTTATAAAGTACATTTTCATAGATAAAAATTATAAATATTAATTTAAAAAAAATAATATACCTAAATTTATTACATAAGTAGAGCAATTTCAATCATGTCAAAAATATTGTAGGACCAATTCGGGAGTAAAACTTTTTATCATTAAAAGAAACCTTACAATCGGTTAAAATTGTCAATCACAACTTCTAACATATTACTGTTATTTTTTTTTTAATTTTGAGGAAAATAAGTAATACTTACAGGTGTAATGAATAGTGAAGTCGGGATATAACTCGAAGCGTTGACGATGTGAGTGTAGACAACATTATCAGTGGTCAAGTCAAAAGCTACAATTTTGGGAGGACAGTAATCTTTATCGCCAATCTTCCCTGTATCCATCGCCCACAATCGATTACACTCGTCTATCTGTAAAGCGATTTAAGGAAAAAAATAATTATTGAGCTTTGTAAGGGGGTTATTACATAGATAGACAGATAGATAGATGTTACATAATGTGTTTGAATTGCTTAGCATTATTATGTCTTCCTATAAGATCTTAATCTGAGATTATTTATGTTCTATTCGTAACTATTTATGGACATAGTATAACATATTCACGTAAGACTATCCATAACTGTGGAATTAAGATAGGTCTATGTAATTACTAGATTATATAATATGTGGTTAAGCAGCAAGTAGAGTATTAGAGATTATTGACATTGTGATTTAATTATTAAGTTTATTATATAGGTACTTATAAAATGCCCTTACTAATACAAACGGATTTATATATGAATACAAATATTGGGGCGGTGCGAAGATCGAACTCACCACAATCGCAAAGTAAATCAGTGTATTAAATCTCTATGCCACAAACGTAATCAGAAGACTGGTTGAGAGAACGGAAGAGCTCTACTAACTTCTAATTCTTATTAATCATACTATTACCACTACTATAAAAATGGAAATGTTTGTTACCTTTTGATGGATGGACATCTGTTACTCTTTCACGTTTAAACTACTGAATGGATTTTAATGGAATTTGGTGCAAGGTTAGGTTAAATCCTAACTTAGCATACTGGATAATTAGTATACCGCATATATAAATGCAATTAGTAAATAATAAAACAAAGATGTAATACTTACAGCGATTCTAAATACAGATGTGAATCCATTGCAGTTCTGTCCTTGATTTTCGTGCCAAGAGTAATCGGGATAAGCAGAAACTCTCCCAGTATCATCGACTGTACCTAGCGTCATTGGACGGCCTTCATCGAACCTTGGTATTGTGATAAAGATTCGAGACTTCTGATCACCTGTTAAAAAATACAATATTATATCAAATATGTTTTTTACATACATTAAGAATATAAAGTGTTAGAAGGACTGAGGTCTCAAAAATAGTCTTGCTTATATTTTGTGTAAATAGATTACATTTATATTTCTTATTTATACTTCTAACTTTCTTACTAGTATTTTGACCTGCATTCTTTTGTCCATATGAAAAAGAGAAAGAATATAAAAGGTATATCACATTACAGCACTGTAAAAAAATAAAACTCAAAATGAAGCCGTATATCAAGCTGCCTGTCTAGCGTGTCAACAATAGCCTAATACGAGTATCTTCCTTATCTTATGTTGTAACAATGGTTTAAAATATTTTATATAGTCATATCTCTCCTATATATATGATAATAAGAATAAATAAAGGCTTTCATCTTAAATAATTAATCTCAATTACGCGTAAAAAAGCTAAGTATCACTGTTAATTCTTAGTAAATATTCATTTACATATTTTTTTTTTATTCTGAATTTGAAATTAAGATGATTTCTTATTAAGAACTACCATAAGTTTTTGTCCGCTACTTCGTTCACGTAGATTTTAGAAGTAAGTAAACCAATAAAATTTACCACTTCTAGATGGCGTATAAAAATAAAACATAAAAGAATTGCCATGCCAGAATACCAGAAACTTCAGAAATACGATTGTAGAAACCGCATGCAATTTGGTGCAATAGTTTTTGCATGATACCAGAACAACAGGTTTAAGTTATTGTTTAGGCTTCTATTTCTTTTATTAAAACCACTTATATTATTTTTTCTCAAATGTCTACCATGTAGAGATATCATCTAATTATAATTATATTACAATAGTAAGATCTTTAGCTGTACGGTTATACATTCTACAGTTTTCTTTCAGCTTCTCAAAGGTTGACTGTAAGAGATCCCTTTATGGAATAAGTCCGCCATTGTATATTAAATTTTTATATATAAATATACAATATATATATAATATAATATATATATATATATATATATATATATATATATATATATATATATATATATATATATATATATATATATATATATATATATATATATATATATATATATATATATATGTATAGAATAGAATAGAATAGAAGAATAGAATAGAAATCATTTATTCAAATAAACTTACATATAAGCACTTTTGAAAAGTCATTACATTTTTTTTTAATCAACCGCTCGTTCGGAAAGCTGTCTCATCACAAGAAGAACGAGCAAGAAACTTGCGTGTTGCTCTTTTAAATAATTTTATTATTACTTTACATTTTCAAGTTTAATTGTGTGAATACAAACCACCAATTAGCACTAATTCAATTAAATACTCAAAAAGAAAAAAATATTGAATACATAACCAACTGGTTAAACAATTAATAAGAGGAAATCAGTCATAGTGATTAGAGCAGACCAGTCCCTACAAGCAGCACCCGTTCACGAGTATGACGGATGAGATATATATCACTGCGCTCGACCATATTTTCAATGACCCGGCCCACCACGCCGCCACAATGGACATTTTAGTGAGCATGACTACTCAAAACACTAGACCACGTCAAAGCTACTCACAATTGCCATCTAAGAATGCATGCGGCAATTAATACAAAAACCGCTACGCTTTCATATTTCTAAAATTAATCAATTAAATCAAGAAAGCAATGAGAAAATAAAATTATAACGTTGTATGCTAATAAACTAATTATTTACTTGATATGTTGTCATCTATGAATTCGTCTATCCTGTAATAGGCTTTCTTACATAAAAATTGTTTAATATAAGATTTGAATTGCCTCTCTGTCAGATTTAATGCAGATTCCGGCAGTTTATTATAAAATCTTATGCAATTACCATAGAATGAATTACTGATTTTGTGCAGACGGCATTTAGGTAAAATAAGCTTATTTATATTGCGTAAGTTTCTACTTGTACAGTCTTTGAGTTTTTTAAAACTCTCTAAGTTCTTCCGTGTATACATAATATTTTCATAAATGTATTGTGAAGTAACTGTGAGGATATTTGAGTCTTTAAAGCACTGACGTAATGACTCTCTCGAACCCATACCATAAATAGAACGTATGGCTCTCTTTTGTAAAACAAATACGAGTATAGTGTTTATATCGGCTGCTTTACCCCACAGCAGTATGCCATAAGACATTATGCTATGGAAATAATAAAATATACAAACGTCTGTTAATTGTCTAATTCTTCTAATTGCATATGCAGCAGAACTGAGTCTACTGGCCCATTGTAAACACTGTTATACCTAAAAAAACTGTATCATTAACAAAATTTACTATTTCATCATTAAGCAATAACTGTGTATTTATTAGTCTTACATTAGGAAGTGTAAATTTTATACACTTTGTTTTGCTGGAATTTAATAATAGGTTATTACATGTAAACCAATTTAATATTGCAGACATAGCACAATTTACATCGTCTAATTGATTACTTTGACGTCCAATTTTAAACACTAACGAAGTATCATCCGCAAACAGCACTATATCTGCAATTTTCTCTACCATAAAGGGAAGGTCATTTATGTAGATTAAAAAGAGAAAGGGGCCTAAGATTGACCCTTGTGGAACGCCCATCTTAATATTAGCTCCCTTAGATTTTACACCGTCAATATCTACAGTTTGAACCCTATCCTCTAAATAAGTTCTCATTAATTTTAGATCATTATCTCTTATACCATAATGTTCGAGCTTGTACAAAAGCGTTTTATGATCCACACAATCAAATGCCTTTGATAGGTCACAAAAAACTCCGAGTGCATCCTGTGACCTCTCCCAAGATTCGAAAATATGTGTCACTAGCGCAACACCTGCGTCAGTGGTAGACTTGCCGGCGGTGAAACCATATTGCTGACTGTGAAGCAGTCCGTTAACCCTGAAGTGATGTAACATTTGATTTAACATTATCTTTTCAAACACCTTACTTAGAACTGGCAAAATAGATATAGGTCTATAGTTCCCTGGCTCAAATTTATCTCCTGATTTAAATAGTGGGATTAATTTGCTAAATTTCATTAAATGTGGAAAACGCCATTATCAATACATTTATTAAAAAAGGATATGGGAGCAACAATATCTATGAAAGAACTAACTACTTTTACAGACATGCCCCAAAGGTCTTCCGTATTTTTTAAATTTAGCTGTTTGAATATTTTTATGATATGAAAGGGGCTAACATGTGAAAATTTAAATCTTAAAGAACAACAACCGATATTAGTCTCTAGTAATTTTTTTGCTCGAGATTGAGATGAGTCCAGAGAAGATGTAATATCAATCGGAATATTAGCAAAAAAATCTTCAAAAATATTAACTACATCTTTTGTTGTTGATATTAATTTATTATCATATATGTATATATATATATATATATATATATATATATATATATATATATATATATATATATATATATATATATATATATATATATATATTATACAATAAAGACTTTACAATACAATACAATACAATATTATATTATCTGTGGTAAGATTAAAACGTCGCGACCACCTATGTAACTATTTTTGCTGTTTTAGAATTCTTACTCGTGTATGACGGCCTCTTAAATGTTAATAACGTTCTAGCCATCTTTTCTCGGGATTAAGTATGTGAAGATATATATATGTTTAATTTATTTGTTTACTATTTACTATTTTCCTTAATTCTTCATATCCGCTTTGTAAACTAAGCAGGCCTTCGATGCTATGGTAGGTAAACATCACGCCCTGAGACATCACTGAACGTGCTCCGCGTGTGTATGTATCAAAACCGGCTTACCATGAGCTCAGTAATTTAAAATTAAAATTTAATAAATTAAACTTTTCCTAAGCAACCCTAAAACCCCAAAACACATAAGAATAAAATATCGGTAACTAACAATTGAAGAAAGTTCAGTCTACATAAATGTTTCCTAAAATATTTCCAGATAATTAGATAGAATTAATAAGAAGAATTGTGACTTTGTAAACTTTAAATGGCACAGCGAATCTTTGAGAAATAAGCAAGGAAAGACGCTACTGTTAGAAATCTAGGACAGGAAAATACAGTACTTATTTCTGTAATCAAGGCACTTCTTGGTTAAGATACTATCTAGCTAATACAACAATACATAATGAACTGATAGTACAAATCACAAACTAAAAAGGCAGTTCCGGTAGCCTCCAACAAGTTCTCGTATAGTCTGCTCATGTAAATAAAATAGATATCAGGAAACTAGGTAGGTTGATCAGGAAACTAATAGATATTCTGATTGGTATTTAGTCAACTAAATAGACACATCTTTAAACTAGATTTAATTATTGTGGCACATTTACACATTTGCCACTTTTTTTTTTACTTAGTAGACTATTGAAATTTTGCCGCTCCTCCAACTTCTATAATTTAGTGTCCTTATTCACAAACATATTAATTACAATTGTTTCGTCAATTAAATTGTAATTTCATAGTTCTAGTGTACTCAGTCTTCTGGTAAACCCATGACTATATAATTGATAACCTATTAAATTAGGATGTATGAACAGAAACGCTTGCACATGCGCTGACTAAATGCTACATAATCACAAAAGTTCTACGACAATCTAAGCCACCTTTGGGCCTTCTGGGTCGTAGACTAGATTAATTTACTCTTAATAAGTTAAGAAACTAAGCATAGAAATTTCCGAACAAACAATTTTTGTTAAAAATTTCTCAAATTTGTATAATAATTGTAATACTGCTTTTATCAAAATAACTATTTAAATATTACAAACAAAGTTATTAGTATTTTTTTTGATAGGTGAAAATGGTATGGAAACCCCGCCTGCGCAGCACCAGTGTAGGGTGAAAGATAAGAATGAAAACAGGCCCGTTAGCCCGTCATGATGAATTCATCAGGAATTAACCATGATAGTTTCCAGGAGGAACCGCGAGGAGGTCGACCTGGTTGGGTATATTGCTAGCAATGGGATTCTCAGTCTCCATTACTAACAATCCCTTTCGCCCAAGTCACTTATTTTATTTATTATTAGGATTAGTATTAAGATCTCCATAGGATAATATTCGGTATGCCCTCATTCTTTCAGAAATATTATAGTATAATATTAGTATAATTACTTAAAATACTCTAATATTTACTCGATAAGAAAACTTATGTAAACACTATTATGCTTTACCAATATTTAGCTTCGTAACGAGATAAACGGTTAATAAATTAATATTAAATAATAAGCTTAACGTCCTGGAATACCTTGAAATAACCTTGCTGCCGATTGTTTGAGCATTAACAAAACTATAATACAATTATGCTTGCATAGACTAATGAAATTTGTATTATAATGTGCAGAGTCTAGGTAATATTTTAATGGGACAATTACAAGCGAGTTATGCAGAAAATAAATAGCTGTTTTCTACACAACTATAATTTTTATGAACATTTCATAAGACATGGCTCTTATGTCCATAACAGAAATTTGTTAATTTTTGTTTAATCTCCATTTAATTAAAAAATCTTTAATCTCCATTTCATAAAAAAGCGTACAAAACAAACACAAATAAGTACTAACAATAGGTAGGTAGGTATTTTATTAGTAACTTAGAGAAAGTTTTGTAATTACACACAATTTAATCAAAAGTGTTTTAATTTTGAATGTAGCTGGAACATTTTCATATTTTGTTATTTTGATGATGGTTAAACGTTGAACTTGATGCTTGACACGGTGTCGTAATGGTATGCGTACAGACTTTCCGGTTATCGTACAGTACAAATTTATAATCGAACCACACATCAACGTACAATGCCAGGCATTACACGAGACGGCTCAGCATCTTAAAAGGATAATATACAATTTCTATTTTGAAAATATGAAATTAGAACAAGATCAACGAGAAAATAAAAATTATTAATTGTTCCTTTTTTAAATTTTTATTAATGAGGAATTACTATTATTATATTACATCATTAGTATTCACAAGTGTGATACCTATTAATTTCATCATTTTCAACAACTTACAAAATGTGACAACATTTTTCTATTATTTAAATTTAATTATTTATTTACTCTTTATAGCACCACTTAAAGAATAATACAAAGATATTTATTATTAAAACTAAAATAAACTATCAGTGTCGCGAAACGACTGATTAATGGCATAACTAATCACCTGCTCCATATACATATATTAATATATTACAAAAACTGCACTTATTTTATCTAATTTACTTGCAATTTTTTTTTTAAGTACTGGCTCTGTAAATATTTTGTAGAATTCTTTTAATGGCATACGAATATAAAAATACTTAGAACACTTTACTACTATCTTATCAATTTACTTTCAAATTTTAAAAGTTGAATTTAAGCATTTTTGTCTTTGTGGTTATTTTTAAACAATAATATTCCACAGAGTTGTAGTGTATTATAATAAAAATAATCCTATATATGAATTTGAGATAATACGATTAATCTGTGTACCAAATATCATTGAAATCCGTTTTCGTGTTAAAACATGAGTGGATAACAAACTCTTAAATACTCAACATTAGTAAGCCCAGGTGTGTTTCGTGATTTTAACCACGGAAATAAGATGAGAAACAATCTAGGATTTAGTCTGTGTTTCATATTTCAATTAAAGATTTAAGTGCAACTGAATAACAAACATTCGTATATGTTAACCACTGAATATGTTTAAAATTTTCAGTATTATATTAGTACATAGGACTATTAGGAGATTCATGTAAATTACCAGCTATTTTTTTTTTTGTTTCTCGGTTAATTAGTTTAATTACCGTTTGATTAAAGGGACAACTTGATTAGAATAGCGATTAAAATATCTTTTGTACTGTCTATACTAGCATATTTATAGCAGTAAATATGTATTTTTTTATGTATCTGCAAAGAAACTAACGTAACTTTTAAAGTCAGAAAATTCTTTACTAAATTAATAAAGAGAAAAAAGTATTGATGACATTTCATTTTTTCCTGTGCCCACGTTGTAACAAAACAAATGATTAGTCACGCGCAGTATGTCAAATTGTAAATAGATATGGTAGGTTATCAGAGCTATTTTTTATGTGAATTGTATTGTAAAAAAAAGCAATTTCCCAACTAGTCATCGTATTATAAACAAGTACTTACACAAAACGTCCTTCCTTATCGGTCTAAATTGTTTAAAAGAGCTATAAAAACTATTTCCTTTGACAATTGTTTTTCACTTATAATTACGGAAAATTTTCAATATAACTTAAATATTTTACTACAAATAAGTATAAGAACTGCAAAGGTAAAAATCGAACATGACCTCACTTCAAAAGATGGGCCTTGTAACAATTAAATAATTACACACAAGCTTCTTTTATTTTGTATTTAAACACATGTATTAACTTAAAAGTAAATTAACAATAAAAAAAAGTTTTTATCGTGTTGACAAAGGCAGTATAGTAGTCTACGATATTTAATAGACAATAATATTGTACCTACCTTTGTTATTACTACTTTGCAATAAATCCTCCGCATGCATTGATTATATTACAATTGATATTCAATTGATACAATTAATATAAAAATAGACCCATAAAATTTATTTTGATTATATTATCTTGGTAAAGTATAAGTTGTAATAGAAATGAATAGGCTAAGTGAATAAAAAAAATTAGCAGACGCCATCATCCAAATCCAAATTAAACGTGATCGTACGGTCGCGTAGAGACCAAGGAGTGATCGGAGGAAAGTCGGGATACTACTTGTGCGCTGGGTTGATGATATCAAAACAGTAAGGAAACCCTGAATGCGCATGACGAAGGATCGAGTCAAATGAAAGTTTTGTAGAGAGGTTTATACCTTAAATTGTTAAAGTCGTACTGAGAATGCGAACAAAATAAATATCACTCCTTTGATATTTTATACAGAAATTATATTTATTTATTTTTATCTAAGTATAACTTCTATTACTACAAAGACAATTGTAATCTTTACACGAACAAATGTGTGTGTATGTCTAGTTACACTGAGCGAGATGCGTTTTCTTTCCCAATGGACATATTCGAGCCATAAATACGAATCTCGCCTCAGTATCTCGAAAAAAGGGGCAGTAAAGTAATCGTGCATGACTAGTACTATAAACTATTATGCCAATATGCAAATAAACTTTATATTATTTAATAAGTATAACTATAATTTACCTTGTCTATGGTGAACGTCGACATCAATTGGCACCGAATTTCCAGGCACATAATAACGTTTGTCAGTAGCTTCTCTATACGCTTGCTCATTGGGGAACACAAATTCTAGCTCCGGCCACTGCCTAACGATGCGCAACTCTGACTTGGCTCCTAGACCTGGCCAGCAGCAGGCCAAGCAGTAAGACAGCAAGAAGAATCTCTCGATGCCGTAAGACATCTCCAATTTGAATCTATCCAGCAGCTGAGGATCTAAAAAAGATAATAAATGAGGATATAATAAATAATTATAAGTACTTTTTATAATTGACCATTTGCAAAAAATGGGTGCTTATGATTTTGGTATTGTTTTTCTAACAGGTAGTATATCGTTTTATGAATTACAGATAAAAATTAACTAATTACAAATGCAAATTTTGAGCAATGATGTTCCTAAAGTATTTAAGTATTTAGTCAGTCTTCGATTACGTATATCAACCATAGAAGTTTCCGTTTAACAACAATCTATGAAATAACATTTATATCCATTATATCTTTGAGATTTCTTTTATTTCAGAATGTTTTAGGTTTGTTTTTGCTCGTCTCACTATCTGTCATCTTTATCAACATTGTTAGTAATGAATGTTCTTGACAACGATTTCACAAAATTGAATTAGATACAAGAAGGTTAATTAAAAAGAAGGTTATAAAATTCCTTAAAAAATTAGGTAACAAAATATATAATCACACGTGATGACTTCGATATATGTTTCTCGTTTGTTACATCAGGAACAGATAATAATACAAATTGAATGTTGAATACAATAAATATTTTCTAAACCTATTAACACCAATTTAAATGAGACACGAATAATTATTGGAAACGATAAGCATAGAAAACTTATTAGAATTGCCGTTAACAAATTTTATATATGTAGATATATAAATACATAAAAAGGGAAATATTATATATTAAAAAAGTTAAGTAAACTATTTAGAAAGAAAAGGCTTTCATTTTCATCATAGATATATGACGTACAATAATCATTAATATAGTAACAATACGTAAAAATATTAATGTAATAAGGAATTTATATTAAAATTTACCATATTGGCTAAGAATTGTTGCGCAGAATCCATTTTCTGGACCGTACGGTCCCATAATGTTTTATATCACTTAACCACACTCCTATCTTTGATCACACTGGAAACGTCTTTAAAAACACGATTGTGTTTACACCCGAAGAATCACTTTACTAAGAAATATTAACAAATCAAACAACCGGCGTACGTGAATTCACTAACACGGTGACTCCGATAAATGATCTCCGTTTTGCTGATGATAGCATGCCGATTTTATAATTCTACACATTTAGTACAGAATGGCAAGAATTGAATGTATAGACATAAAACTGCACACAATTCAATGGGAATTAGAACATATTATCGTAGAATGGCAATGTTCGCAGAATCCAGTCGTATGTTTTTTACATACATTCAAGTAGGTACCCCATAGCCAAAGTAATATCTGTTCGGAATGTTGTCATTGGATTTAAAGTCTATTTTGAGTTATTTTTAATTGGGTTGAATTGTATATACTATTAATTATACAATATTATTAGACAATATTATCGAATGAACTATGAAGAAAAGTTTACTTTTCCATTATTACAAGTACTTATTGTATCTAAATTAACCGATGTATTTAAAATTATGGTTTTAAAATGATACACTTTATAGACTACTAAAATGTTAACAGTTTTTTAATAGCCAATAACACTTATTATTATTAGTAGATACAAAAATAGTATTGATGAAGTAAAATTACCATTCTTATTCTTACAAATACTTTTAAGGTAGTTGGTTATTAGATATGTTGAAATCTATTAAACTAGATATTTCACTTTAGACTAAATTTTTATTTCACAATTTAATTACAAGTAGTAACTTTTAATTGATATATTATAAATCAATTTATTATTAAATACTTATTTTTTTTTTTATTGTAGAATTAGCAAATAATATACGTCCTTAAATGGATAACAGATTAAATGCAATAACTAACATGGGCGTGTTAGAATTCAAATTTAAAATAATTATTACCTGGGTATAAAATTACTATAGCGTGCGTGCTTATATATGCAAGAACATTATCTGTGCAAAAATGATTCGTGCAGATAAAAGATCAAGATTAAGTAAAATCATTCATCGAGTACTGGTATATATATATATATATATATATATATATATATATATATATATATATATATATATATATATATATATATATATATATATATATATATATATATATATATATATTAAGTTATTTTCGTAATCATTATCCGTACAAATTATCGTAATTTAAAATAAAAAAAAGATTCAACGTTTTACTATAATTTAAATACCTTAACAGATTTTGGTAACCCTTTTAAAACAAAATGCTTGGTCGCTGAAAATTTTTCTCAAGTCTGAATTCTTTAAAAAATATCATGGATTATAATAATAATAAATTTTACCTGATTTGAGTAAATAATGGCGATAAAATTTTACTCAAAGTGCGCCGAAAACACAAAAAATTATTGAATAATTATAATAATAGTCTTTAAATTAAAAAGAAATACTAGTAGTATTTTTACTATTAAAGTTTTTGTTTTATATAAATTAAATTTATGAAGTCGAAATGAAAAAATATTGACCGAAAGATTGTCACATTTGTATTCATATAACCGGTTGAAAACTAATTACATAAAACTTTCTGTAGTAATTATCTAGATTTGTCTTTTGTCTATGCCTATGATATATTTTTTAACTAGTTCGAATTAAGAACTCTATCTTAAATTTGAATCTTCGTTCCGATACGAGTGTCTTGAATAATTTTATATAAAATACTGACCGCTCATCGCATCGATGCTCAAAATCCTTGTTTTCTCGTGTAACGGTACTACACACTATATGAAATGACATATCAGTATATGGTTTCATTACAACACAGCAGCGTCCGTATCATTCGTTATCGTTTTATGCATCTACATTATAATATTAATACATAATAATTTACCTACTTTTGTGAAATAGATGACAGATACGAAATAAATAGAGTACAATTTTAGAGGATTGTAAAAAAAGGCTTTTATAGGTATAAAAAATATATGTAGGTACTATAAAAGTAATCCAGTTCGATTAATTCGATAAAAGATTTGCGTTTTTATATTCACTTTACTAAAACTCAAAAATAATGAAGTGTGAATATAATTATGCATTAATTTGATGAAGAACTTCTAGTTCTAGTAGTTTCTACACACAAAAAAATCTGTGTAATTTTGAGATTGTAAAAAAGATTTATTCACCACATAGAATGACAAACAGAATTAAAATGGTAATAATCACCTATAAAATCTTAGGCATCACGAATATGCCCATAGATTTAATTACTTCAACGTAAAATTCCTGCAGTTTCAACATACAACGATTTACATATTTATTTATATCTAACTATACCTAACGCGGCTTCGCCTGAGTGAATCAGTAAGTACATAAAGTACCCTTTGTACCTATTAAGTTTGAATGTAACCTACGCGTGAACCAAATTTAATTTAAATTCGTTCAGTGGTTATTGCGTGGAAAAGTAACAATCCATCCTTACAAACTTCCGCATTTATAATATTAATAGAATATAATTATGTATCACGCCGTATTCCTTACGGGGTAGGCAAAAATTATATAAAATCTGTTCGTTTATATTAATCATGCTCATGTTTTTAGTGATCCGTAGGCAATAAAACGAAACTTCGCCGTATCACTAGTCATGAAAAATCTCAATTAAATAGGAATATCGAATATCTTATGTTAAACAAACTCTCTGAGAATATTATAGAATATTAATATCCAGCGATCGATGGATCGTATTGGGGTAAATGGCCTTTAGAAATCTTGACGATGTCTTCTAAGAAACCTTTCCACTGTATTTAACGTGAAATGTGTTCGATCAGGGCATCCTTTTAATAAAAACTGTAAACTTGGAACCTGAGACTATGTTTAAACTATAAGTATAAGACTCCGTTAAAGAACGAGTATTCGGTAAAATTATTAGGTTAAGAATCAGGATTGTAGAGTTTAACCGCAATTATAATTTTAAGTTCAGTTGGCCAGGTCTTATAAGTCGGAGGGACAAAGAAGATTTTAAGTTTTAGAATAGATACCAAGAATGATTAAAATAAGAAGGTAACGACCCACTAGAATCGTATTGATGCTATTCATGCCTCAGGATACATCTGGTCAATTGTTTTATTATATATCATAGCTTCTTAGTAGAGAAAGCTTATATTCAGTGTTGGGAAAATAAAGCCTAAAACAGAAAAAGATTTAATGACTAGCCATTTACAATATCACAATATAATATTGTTTTAGCCTCGGTTCACTTAATAACATACAGAAATATCTATACCTAATATGTAATATAAAACATTCAAATATCTACTGAACTCTATTTACTTATTTTAAACAATTGGACACGCTCTTAACCGGTTTTTATTTTTCCTCTTAGTAACTAGTATTATGACTAACTTAGAATTTAGAGCAGTTTGACTCTTTTTTCTCAAGAGAAATTCCGAAATACTATACCTATGTTAATTATACTAAATCTATATCAATAAAACCTAAGTAGAAAATTTGAATCTATATTTTTTTATATTTTTCATTGCAATAAGTCGTTTTAATGAAAAAAATTGAAACCGATATAAAAGAGGAAACCAAGAGATGTATATAAGGATAGAGACCTTAGACCCTTGGTCTTTAATTCTACCTTTATCATAGAAGCCTTAGATAAATTTTAAATATTATTACCTTAAGGTACTTTACCTATTTTGTGTTTACCATTGACGTAGTTTTTGAAATATATGAGATACATGGAACAGACCAGTATATGGAATCTAGTGGCCCTTAAAAAAATTTTAACACCTATCTATGACAATATTCTGTGATAGGCTTTACATGTTTTCATTTCACAGTTTAAATTTAGTTTAATTAATAACATCTAATAAATTTGCTTTAAACTATTTAAAAATCTGTTGAATATGCCTATATTTTTATGTGCTACACTTATTGTTAACATGCATCGAAATGTTAACCATTAATTATATTATGACTTTTGTAAATCCTTAGATGCCAAATTTATTATACGTATGCAATAATAATAATATGAAAAAACTATTTATCACATCAGACACACATACACTACACACATTTAATCGAAAACATAAAAAACGAAAAAA